TATCTCTTTGGATCTGCTTCATGCTCTCTGTTTGTTTTTTATATTGTTCATTCAGGGCTAAATCTTTTTGCATTGTTCCTCTAATTTTTTAACTGTGTCTTCTTTAGATGTGATCAGCCTTCCTTTCATTAAATTTATCATTTCTTCTTTTACCTGGGAGATTATTTCTGATCTGAGTTCTTTTATAGCTTCCCAGTTTTTTCCTTACTTCAGTTGTTATCATTGCAGGAATTTCAGGTGGATCTCTTACATTTCTTCTATGTCCATGTCTCCTAGCCTTGCTTGGGATGGGCTGGAGGTTTGAGATTGCATTCTGCTCTTTCATTTTGTCATTTCCCTATATTTCCTGGTTTTGAGTGATATTCCAAAGATTCCCCATGTGCTGGGAATTACCTAGTGCTCTTTCAGCTTTAGGAGCAGAAAACAGACAACTGCTAGAGCCCCTTGGAGGTCACTGGGCATGGCCCAGTTAGGACCCCAACGACCTCTGGTTGGGGTCCTCCAGTTATTTTGAATGCTGGCAGAGTCTTACATGCTGGGAGCCATGGTCCAAAATTCCCCCATGCACTGAGAATCAACTCACATGCCTTCAGCTACCAAGGAAATCCTCCCATAAACATTAAATCATCACTAGATTATTTCCAATATCCTATGCTATGTAAATTATTGCTATGCTGCATTCTTTAAAAAATGACAAGAAAAATGTTTGCACATTTTCCATGTCAACCCTTTTTCTATGAAGAGTTTCAAAGCTCATCAGTTGCTTAAATCCTTGGATATGATGAAGCCAATCACACTGAGTTTATTATCCAGTGTTTGGAATTTATTGTGTCACCTTGCACAAGGATTCTTTAAGTCTGTTTTTCTGTTAACATTTCTTTGCTATGTGGTAAAATATACACAACATTTATTATTTTAATCATTTGAAGTTCAGGGTTCCATGACATTCATTACATTCATATTGTTATGTAACATTGCCACTATCCATTTCCAGAACTTTTTTATCTTACCACACTAACACCTTCTAATCAGTATAAAATAACTCTCCATTCCATGACTGCCCCGGCCTCTTCTCTCTGTCTTTATGTGTTTGTCTTCTGAACCTCTCATAGAAGGGGGATTGCATAGTATTTGTGCATAATGTCTTCAAGGCTTATCCCATTTGTAATATATATGAGAATTTTCTTCCTTTATTATTTTTTAAAACAAGGATAATCAGTTGTATGCATACACTGCTTTATGGAGTGCACCTCATTTGGCTTGTTCACTCATCCATAAATAGACTTTAGGATCATTCCCATGTTTCATAGCATTAACTCTGCTATGAAATATATATGAAATATCCACTCAAATCCTTGATTTCAATTCTTTAAGGTATATGTCTAGCTGTAGAATTGAAAAATGAGAAACTTTTTTTAGGAAGCACTATACTGAGTTTCACAGTGACTGCCCTCTTTTACATTCTCATCTACCCACATGCACACAAATACTGATTTCTCTATAACCTCAAAAAGACTCGTGTTTTGGTGATAGATATCCTGCTGGGTGTGAGGTGGTTTTGATTTGCATTTCCCTAGTAACTAATGATATTGTGAATATTTTCACATGCTTACTGGTAATTTTAATATCTTCTCTAGAGCAATGGCTGCTCAACATTTTGCCTATTCTATACTGTGATACTGTTGTTGTTGCTAAACTACCATAGTTTTGTTTTGTAATATGGTTTTGGGACACAGGGAATAACTATATACTCAGGCCAAACTTGAATTCCCTAGGCATCCCTGGTTGGACATGAACACACAGTGATTCACTGCCACGGGCTCCCCAGTGCTAGGACAACAGGCAGGTGCCACCAAGCTTGATCAGGGTAGGAAAACATTTGTGGATGTTTCCAATGTGCTATTTTCATATGTGTAAATGATGTAAAATGATTGAATCCAGAAAAATAACCATCACACTTTTACCCATGATTCGTACAGTATCACATTTGAACCATACTTAATTACCCTTTTAAATTTACGTTACCATATACTAAGGCCAGGGATTCCGCTCAGCTTCATAAGCACTTGCCTGTTAACGACAACATCCTCAGTAAATCCATCCGTGCAAAAGAAAAAAGAAAAAAACATGATCATATCCTGCAATTAAGAGCAATTTCTGGGTCATAGGTGGATGACAAACTTTCACCCCCAGACATTTCTAATCTTCGTGAGGTCCAACTTGCCTATTTCGTCTTAGTGTTGTTGCCTAAGGTTTTGTCAGATCCAAGAAAACATTGTCAAAGCCCATATCATCAAAGATTTCTCTCTACTTCCTGCTGAGAATTTTCCAGGTTTAGCGTTCACACTCAGCTATTTGACCCATTTCGAATTAATTTGCATATATAATGGTAGGAAAAGGTTCAACTTATTTTATTTACATGGATATTCACTTTCTCAATGTTTTTATCAAACAAATGTTCCTTTCTGCAGGGAGCAGTACTAGCATGGCCATCAAAAATAGTTTGGTCCCAGGAGTGCAGGTGGATAGAAAGAATAACTTGCAGTATTCTGTAGCACAGCAGGAGAAACATGTTTACCCATGCCTAATTCTATCTTTCAAAAGAAGCAGCAAAGACAAGCTTGAATGTTCCCAACACGAAGCATGATAAACACTGAGATGATGGAGCAGGCACGTGTCCCCATCTGGGTGTGACACGCTGTGGAAATATAGCAAATCCCACAATGAAACGCCATGCATATGTGTTCTCCTTACATGGATATTCACCGTTTTAAATAGTTTAAACTCATTTGGCCATCCATGGGAGCGCTCGTTTGTCAGCTTGTTCTTCTGTTGCATTGATTATATATCTTTCTTCATGCCGGGAGCACACTCTTTTCATTACGGTAGCTTTGTACTGTAGCTTTAGAAATCAGACACTTTTCTTCCAAACTTTGTTCTTCATTTTCAGAGTCATTTTAAATATGTGTTGTCTCATGAGATTACATATGAATTTTAGGATGGAGTTTTCAATTTCTGCACAAAGTGTCCCTGACTTTTGTTTTATTCATGGTGATTAACCTTGGGGCTTTCGTGCTGAGCTCCATCCCCAGCTACTGCTACCACCTCCAGCTTTTTTGTTCAGGATCTCACTAATTTGCTAAATGGCCCGAGCTGGACTTAAATGTATGATCACCCTGCCTCAGCCTCCCACAGTGCTGGATTGACAGGATGTACCATGACAATCATCTGAAAATGTCACTGAGCTTTCAATAGGACTCTCATTCAATCTATAGCTCACTTTGGGTGATATGGTCAACTTAATACTATGAAGTCTTCCTTTACCTGAACATAGGTAAGATATCATGGTACAAACCTGAAATCCTAGTGCTTCAAGGGGGGAGGCAAGAGGAGGCCAACCGGAACTACACAGCAAGACTCTGTTACAAAAATAAAGTGGAATAACTTCCACTGATGTATTTTTTTTTAATATTTTCAGCAAAGTTTTGTAATTTAGTTGGGTACAAATCTTTCACTTCTTTGACCAAACTGATTGGTTTGCAGGACTGAGGACTGAGCCTGGGGCCGTTACCCTAAGCTATATGACAGCACGAAGCTTTGGAGTAGTGTTTCAGTTGTCTTGAAATAATGGGAAAGAAATGCCTTCCCAGCCTGTGTCCGCAGACACAAGCAAATCTCCATCATCCCTCGTGTTGTGCACCTTTCTTCCCTGATTGCTCGTGGCTGAGAGCTGGAGTTCAGCCTGAAATGAGAGACAGTTCTCCTCACCCCAGAAAGCCCTGAGGGTTCGGTGGAGATTCATGGAATCATTGAACTCATTGAGGTCATTCAAGTCAGGTGGCTCCTTTCACTCACCGACTCCCTCCTTCTGTCATGTCTTTTTTCTTTAAACTCTTCCATGGGTCACAAAGAACCCACAGGGCTTTGACACACATTTGTACTGCTTTTCTCCAATGAGAGGTGGCAAATCTCTTGCACAGGGCACAGCAGGTCAGAGCTGTGCTCCAGCTCTTTTCCAGTCTCACGCAGGGACTGGCTCTGCCCTTACACTCTCTGGGGTGGGAAATGACAGGTACAAAACACATGGTGCTAACCTAGCGTCAAGCTGCTAAACCATGTCCCAAATGGGCATATGAGGCTTCCCAGCCATCAAGGAAATAAAAATGTGCAACTGGGAGCAGATATATCTGAGCCCTGGCTCTGAAGTTTCAGCTGTCTGAGGCTGAGAATGCACCTGCAGGTGATGCACCTCAGAGAGCGGTGCTTCCCTGTGGAGTCCTGCATGGAGGGAAGGGCAGGGCCAGAGGCCCACCTTTGCAGAGAGAATCAAGCCAGCCTTTCGGGAACACTGTGACCATTTATCTCTGCTGATTTCCTTCACTGTGGCATTTAACCCAAAAGTCAAGAATGAAAGTCTTTTCCAAATGGAGATGCTCTTCAGGCTGCAGATGACTCAGATTGGCTCTCCCAGAAATGATTGGCCAAATATCGTGCAACAGTCAGTAGGAGGCTATGGTGGCTTTGCCTCATCATAGCCCACCCTGCCTTCCCCAAGGCCGGTCTTTATCTTGCTGTTTCTTCTTTTACTCAGCTCAAGCTTGCTCTACAGAGACAGTCTCCCCGACCCCACTCTTCACTTTCACTCTCTTGAATTTTAACTAAAGGAAAAATTGGTCAGCGGGAAATACTATGGGACCTTCCCATGAGCTTTCTGCACAGGTTCTACACAGATGGGCTGAGCACAGGCTTGCGTTGTAGGTCCTTCACAGAGTTCTAGGGAAGCTGCTGGGCCTCCGTGGGTGTGCTGGGCGCAAAGGGAGGGAGAGCCTGCTCCTTACTGTCACCTGAGCCAAGGCATGCACACTCTGTGGAGGGTCAGGGCTGTCCTTACACTCACCATGCAGAACTCATGGTGGCCCAGAGCCTTTGCTGAATATCTGAGGAAAGGGCATAGCTAGGACCCGGGTCCAGGCTCAGCCGGTTCCCTCCTCTGTCCACAGAGCCAGTGTCGCGACCCTCCGTCCAGGCCAGCAACATCCCTCTCACAGAAGATGATCCTGTGGTCCTCACCTGCCTCTCAAACAACACTGACATCTCCATCCGGTGGATCTTCAATAACCAGGATCTGCAACTCTCAGAGAGGATGAATCTGTCCCAGAACAAAAGCACCCTCACCATCGACCCTGTCAAGATTGAGGATGCTGGGGAGTATCAGTGTGAGGTCTCCAACCCTGTCAGTTCCAACAGGAGCGACACCCTCTGGCTGCCAGTTTTCAGTGAGTAGCTTCTCCTCTCCTCCCTCTTCTGGGGAGAATTTCTCACCCAGTAATGTGCAAGATAGATACAAGTCACAGGGAATGTACCAATTGAGATACAATTGTAGTCAAGAGACTTGAAAAGCAGTTAAGAGCTTTGCCTCTGACTCCACAGTCACCCCCAGTCTTAACAGGGAGTTTGTTCCAGGAGCCCAACAGACACCAGCATCTGGGGACACTCTAATGCCTATGTTCCAAAGTCACATTTTCGTGGCACTGTGAGAATTCTCCCACATAGTTTTGTTTGTTTGTTTGGTTGCTTGCTTGCTTGTGTAAGGTACTAGGGCTTAAGCCTAGAGCCCTCCTTCCAAGCTACATCCCTACCCTATTTTATTTCCTTCTTTTTTTATTTTTATTTTTGGTGTGCTTTGGGGATCGAACTTATGATCTCGTGCTTGTCAGGCTGTACACTGTGCTGCTGAGGTGTATCCCTGGCCTTGGTCTAATTCTCTCATTTTGAGACAGTCTCACTAGCTTCGAAGTTGCCAAGACTGTGCTCAAACTTCTGATTCTCCTGCCTCAGCTTCCCAGATTGCCAGGTCTACAGATAGGAGCCACCACACTCAGTTCTTCCAACTCCCTAATATCAACTCTAGATTATTTCCAATGCCCAATACAGTGTAAATAGTTCCTGGGCCACTTTATTTAAAGAATGATGAAGAGAAAAATGTCTACACATTTTCCTTATGTCTCCAAAAGTCTATCTCAAATGCTTTCTACGTATATCCAAAAGAGGAATTTCTGGGTCATAGGTGGATGACAGCCTTTCACCCCCAGAAACATCTAGTCTTCCTGAGGTCCAACTTGCCTATTTTGTCTTAGTGTCGTTGCCTATGTTTTTGTCAGATCCAAGAAAACACTGTCAAAGGCTTATCATCAAAGATTTCTCTCTACTTCCTGCTGAGCGTTTTCCAGGTTTAGCATTCACACTCAGCTATTTGACCCATTTCGAATTAATTTGCATATATAATGGTAGGAAAAGGTTCAACTTCTTTTATTAGCATGGATATTCGCTTTCTCAATGTCTTTATCAAAAAAACATTCCTTTCTGCAGGGAGCAGTACTAGCATGGCCATCAAAAATAGTTTGGTCCCAGGAGTGCAGGTGGATAGAAAGAATAACTTGCAGTATTCTGTAGCACAGCAGGAGAAACATGTTTACCCATGCCTAATTCTATCTTTCAAAAGAAGCAGCAAAGACAAGCTTGAATGTTCCCAACACGAAGCATGATAAACACTGAGATGATGGAGCAGGCACGTGTCCCCATCTGGGTGTGACACGCTGTGGAAATATAGCAAATCCCACAATGAAACGCCATGCATATGTGTTCTCCTTACATGGATATTCACCGTTTTAAATAGTTTAAACTCATTTGGCCATCCATGGGAGCGCTCGTTTGTCAGCTTGTTCTTCTGTTGCATTGATTATATATCTTTTTTCATGCTGGAAGCACACTCTTTTCATTACGGTAGCTTTGTACTGTAGTTTTGGAAATCAGACACTTTTGTTCCAATTTTTGTTCTTCATTTTCAGAGTCATTTTAAATATGTGTTGTCTCATGAGATTACATATGAATTTTAGGATGGAGTTTTCAATTTCTGCACAAAGTGTCCCTGACTTTTGTTTTATTCATGGTGATTCACCCTGGGGCATTCGAGCTGGGCTCCATCCCAGCTACTGCTACCACCTCCAGCTTTTTTGTTCAGGATCTCATTAATTTGCTAAATGGTCTGAGCTGGACTTAAATGTATAATCACCCTGCCTCAGCCTCCCACAGTGCTGGATTGACAGGATGTACCATGACAAGCATCTGAAAATGTCACTGAGCTTTCAATAGGACTCTCATTCAATCTATAGCACACTTTGGGTGATATGGTCAACTTAATACTATGAAGTCTTCCTTTACCTGAACATAGGTAAGATATCATGGTACAAACCTGAAATCCTAGTGCTTCAAGGGGGGAGGCAAGAGGAGGCCAACCGGAACTACACAGCAAGACTCTGTTACAAAAATAAAGTACAATAACTTCCACTGATGTATTTTTTTGAATATTTTCAGCAAAGTTTTGTAGTTTAGTTGCTTACAAATCTTTCACTTCTTAGATCAAACTGATTGGTTTGCAGGACTGAGGACTGAGCCCAGGGCCTTTACACTAAGCTATATGACAGCACGAAGCTTTGGAGTAGTGTTTCAGTTGTCTTGAAATAATGGGACAGAAGTCCCTTCCCAGCCTGTGTCCGCAGACACAAGCAAATCTCCATCATCCCTCGTGTTGTGCACCTTTCTTCCCTGATTGCTCGTGGCTGAGAGCTGGAGTTCAGCCTGAAATGAGAGACAGTTCTCCTCACCCCAGAAAGCCCTGAGGGGTCGGTGGAGATTCATGGAATCATTGAACTCATTGAGGTCATTCAAGTCAGGTGGCTCCTTTCACTCACTGACTCCCTCCTTCTGTCATGTCTTTTTTCTTTAACCTCTTCCATGGGTCATAAAGAACCCACAGGGCTCTGACACACATTTGTACTGCTTTTCTCCAATGAGAGGTGGCAAATCTCTTGCACAGGGCACAGCAGGTCAGAGCTGTGCTCCAGCTCTTTTCCAGTCTCACGCAGGGACTGGCTCTGCCCTTACTGTCTCTGTGGTGGGAAATGACACGGGCAAGATGCATGGTGCTAGCCTAGCCTCAAGCTGCCAAACCCAGTCCCCAATGGGCATGTGAGGCTTCCTAGCAGTCAAGGAAAGGAAAATGTGCAACTCGAGGCAGAATTCTCTGAACCCTGGCTCTGAATTTTCAGCTGTCTGTGGCTGAGAATGCACCTGCAGGTGATGCACCTCAGAGAGCGGTGCTTCCCTGTGGAGTCCTGCATGGAGGGAAGGGCAGGGCCAGAGGCCCACGTTTGCAGAGAGAATCAAGCCAGCCTTTCGGGACAAATCACTGGCCAAATATCGTGCAACAGTCAGTAGGAGGCTATGGTGGCTTTGGCTCATCATAGCCCACCCTGCCTTCCCCAAGGCCGGTCTTTATCTTGCTGTTGCTTGTTTTACTCAGCTGAAGCTTGCTATACAGAGACAGTCTCCCCGACCCCACTCTTCACTTTCACTCTCTTGAATTTTAACTAAAGGAAAAAAGGTCAGCGGGAAATACTATTGGACCTTCCCATGAGCTTTCTGCACAGGTTCTACACAGATGGGCTGAGCACAGGCTCGAGTCCTAGGTGCTTCACAGAGTTCTAGGGAAGCTGCTGGGCCTCCGTGGGTGTGCTGGGCGCAAAGGGAGGGAGAGCCTGCTCCTTACTGTCACCTGAGCCAAGGCATGCACCCTCTGTGGAGGGTCAGGGCTGTCCTTACACTCACCATACAGAACTCACGGTGGCCCAGAGCCTTTGCTGAATATCTGAGGAAAGGGCATAGCTAGGACCCGGGTCCAGGCTCAGCCGGTTCCCTCCTCTGTCCACAGAGCCAGTGTCGCGACCCTCCGTCCAGGCCAGCAACACCCCTCTCACAGAAGATGATCCTGTGGTCCTCACCTGCCTCTCAAACAACACTGACATCTCCATCCGGTGGATCTTCAATAACCAAGATCTGCAGCTCTCAGAGAGGATGACTCTGTCTGAGAACAAAAGCACCCTCACCATCAACCCTGTCAAGATTGAGGATGCTGGGGAGTATCAGTGTGAGGTCTCCAACCCTGTCAGTTCCAACAGGAGCGACACCCTCTGGCTGCCAGTTTTCAGTGAGTAGCTTCTCCTCTCCTCCCTCTTCTGGGGAGAATTTCTCACCCAGTAATGTGCAAGATAGATACAAGTCACAGGGAATGTACCAATTGATATACAAATGTAGTCAAGGGACTTGCAAAGCAGTTAAGAGCTTTGCCTCTGACTCCACAGTCACCCCCAGTCTTAACAGGGAGTTTGTTCCAGGAGCCCCACAGACACCAGCATCTGGGGACACTCTAATTCCTATGTTCCAAAGTCACATTTACGTGGCACTGTGAGAATTCTCCCACATAGTTTTGTTTGTTTGATTGCTTGCTTGCTTGCTTGCTTGCTTGCTTGCTTGTGTAAAGTACTAGCGCTTAAGCCTAGAGCCCTCCTTCCGAGCTACATCCCTACCCTATTTTATTTCCTTCTTTTTTTATTTTTATTTTTGGTGTGCTTTGGGGATCGAACTTATGATCTCGTGCTTGTCAGGCTGTACACTGTGCTGCTGAGGTGTATCCCTGGCCTGGGTCTTATTCTCTCATTTTGAGACAGTCTCACTAGCTTCAAAGTTGCTAAGACTCTGCTCAAACTTCTGATTCTCCTGCCTCAGCTTCCCAGATTGCCAGGTCTACAGATAGGAGCCACCACACTCAGTTCTTCCAACTCCCTAATATCAACTCTAGATTATTTCCAATGCCCAATACAGTGTAAATAGTTCCTGGGCCACTTTATTTAAAGAATGATGAAGAGAAAAATGTCTACACATTTTCCTTATGTCTCCAAAAGTCTATCTCAAATGCTTTCTACGTATATCCAAAAGAGGAATTTCTGGGTCATAGGTGGATGACAGCCTTTCACCCCCAGAAACATCTAGTCTTCCTGAGGTCCAACTTGCCTATTTTGTCTTAGTGTCGTTGCCTATGTTTTTGTCAGATCCAAGAAAACACTGTCAAAGGCTTATCATCAAAGATTTCTCTCTACTTCCTGCTGAGCGTTTTCCAGGTTTAGCATTCACACTCAGCTATTTGACCCATTTCGAATTAATTTGCATATATAATGGTAGGAAAAGGTTCAACTTCTTTTATTAGCATGGATATTCGCTTTCTCAATGTCTTTATCAAAAAAACATTCCTTTCTGCAGGGAGCAGTACTAGCATGGCCATCAAAAATAGTTTGGTCCCAGGAGTGCAGGTGGATAGAAAGAATAACTTGCAGTATTCTGTAGCACAGCAGGAGAAACATGTTTACCCATGCCTAATTCTATCTTTCAAAAGAAGCAGCAAAGACAAGCTTGAATGTTCCCAACACGAAGCATGATAAACACTGAGATGATGGAGCAGGCACGTGTCCCCATCTGGGTGTGACACGCTGTGGAAATATAGCAAATCCCACAATGAAACGCCATGCATATGTGTTCTCCTTACATGGATATTCACCGTTTTAAATAGTTTAAACTCATTTGGCCATCCATGGGAGCGCTCGTTTGTCAGCTTGTTCTTCTGTTGCATTGATTATATATCTTTTTTCATGCTGGAAGCACACTCTTTTCATTACGGTAGCTTTGTACTGTAGTTTTGGAAATCAGACACTTTTGTTCCAATTTTTGTTCTTCATTTTCAGAGTCATTTTAAATATGTGTTGTCTCATGAGATTACATATGAATTTTAGGATGGAGTTTTCAATTTCTGCACAAAGTGTCCCTGACTTTTGTTTTATTCATGGTGATTCACCCTGGGGCATTCGAGCTGGGCTCCATCCCAGCTACTGCTACCACCTCCAGCTTTTTTGTTCAGGATCTCATTAATTTGCTAAATGGTCTGAGCTGGACTTAAATGTATAATCACCCTGCCTCAGCCTCCCACAGTGCTGGATTGACAGGATGTACCATGACAAGCATCTGAAAATGTCACTGAGCTTTCAATAGGACTCTCATTCAATCTATAGCACACTTTGGGTGATATGGTCAACTTAATACTATGAAGTCTTCCTTTACCTGAACATAGGTAAGATATCATGGTACAAACCTGAAATCCTAGTGCTTCAAGGGGGGAGGCAAGAGGAGGCCAACCGGAACTACACAGCAAGACTCTGTTACAAAAATAAAGTACAATAACTTCCACTGATGTATTTTTTTGAATATTTTCAGCAAAGTTTTGTAGTTTAGTTGCTTACAAATCTTTCACTTCTTAGATCAAACTGATTGGTTTGCAGGACTGAGGACTGAGCCCAGGGCCTTTACACTAAGCTATATGACAGCACGAAGCTTTGGAGTAGTGTTTCAGTTGTCTTGAAATAATGGGACAGAAGTCCCTTCCCAGCCTGTGTCCGCAGACACAAGCAAATCTCCATCATCCCTCGTGTTGTGCACCTTTCTTCCCTGATTGCTCGTGGCTGAGAGCTGGAGTTCAGCCTGAAATGAGAGACAGTTCTCCTCACCCCAGAAAGCCCTGAGGGGTCGGTGGAGATTCATGGAATCATTGAACTCATTGAGGTCATTCAAGTCAGGTGGCTCCTTTCACTCACTGACTCCCTCCTTCTGTCATGTCTTTTTTCTTTAACCTCTTCCATGGGTCATAAAGAACCCACAGGGCTCTGACACACATTTGTACTGCTTTTCTCCAATGAGAGGTGGCAAATCTCTTGCACAGGGCACAGCAGGTCAGAGCTGTGCTCCAGCTCTTTTCCAGTCTCACGCAGGGACTGGCTCTGCCCTTACTGTCTCTGTGGTGGGAAATGACACGGGCAAGATGCATGGTGCTAGCCTAGCCTCAAGCTGCCAAACCCAGTCCCCAATGGGCATGTGAGGCTTCCTAGCAGTCAAGGAAAGGAAAATGTGCAACTCGAGGCAGAATTCTCTGAACCCTGGCTCTGAATTTTCAGCTGTCTGTGGCTGAGAATGCACCTGCAGGTGATGCACCTCAGAGAGCGGTGCTTCCCTGTGGAGTCCTGCATGGAGGGAAGGGCAGGGCCAGAGGCCCACGTTTGCAGAGAGAATCAAGCCAGCCTTTCGGGACAAATCACTGGCCAAATATCGTGCAACAGTCAGTAGGAGGCTATGGTGGCTTTGGCTCATCATAGCCCACCCTGCCTTCCCCAAGGCCGGTCTTTATCTTGCTGTTGCTTGTTTTACTCAGCTGAAGCTTGCTATACAGAGACAGTCTCCCCGACCCCACTCTTCACTTTCACTCTCTTGAATTTTAACTAAAGGAAAAAAGGTCAGCGGGAAATACTATTGGACCTTCCCATGAGCTTTCTGCACAGGTTCTACACAGATGGGCTGAGCACAGGCTCGAGTCCTAGGTGCTTCACAGAGTTCTAGGGAAGCTGCTGGGCCTCCGTGGGTGTGCTGGGCGCAAAGGGAGGGAGAGCCTGCTCCTTACTGTCACCTGAGCCAAGGCATGCACCCTCTGTGGAGGGTCAGGGCTGTCCTTACACTCACCATACAGAACTCACGGTGGCCCAGAGCCTTTGCTGAATATCTGAGGAAAGGGCATAGCTAGGACCCGGGTCCAGGCTCAGCCGGTTCCCTCCTCTGTCCACAGAGCCAGTGTCGCGACCCTCCGTCCAGGCCAGCAACACCCCTCTCACAGAAGATGATCCTGTGGTCCTCACCTGCCTCTCAAACAACACTGACATCTCCATCCGGTGGATCTTCAATAACCAAGATCTGCAGCTCTCAGAGAGGATGACTCTGTCTGAGAACAAAAGCACCCTCACCATCAACCCTGTCAAGATTGAGGATGCTGGGGAGTATCAGTGTGAGGTCTCCAACCCTGTCAGTTCCAACAGGAGCGACACCCTCTGGCTGCCAGTTTTCAGTGAGTAGCTTCTCCTCTCCTCCCTCTTCTGGGGAGAATTTCTCACCCAGTAATGTGCAAGATAGATACAAGTCACAGGGAATGTACCAATTGATATACAAATGTAGTCAAGGGACTTGCAAAGCAGTTAAGAGCTTTGCCTCTGACTCCACAGTCACCCCCAGTCTTAACAGGGAGTTTGTTCCAGGAGCCCCACAGACACCAGCATCTGGGGACACTCTAATTCCTATGTTCCAAAGTCACATTTACGTGGCACTGTGAGAATTCTCCCACATAGTTTTGTTTGTTTGATTGCTTGCTTGCTTGCTTGCTTGCTTGCTTGCTTGTGTAAAGTACTAGCGCTTAAGCCTAGAGCCCTCCTTCCGAGCTACATCCCTACCCTATTTTATTTCCTTCTTTTTTATTTTTATTTTTGGTGTGCTTTGGGGATCGAACTTATGATCTCGTGCTTGTCAGGCTGTACACTGTGCTGCTGAGGTGTATCCCTGGCCTGGGTCTTATTCTCTCATTTTGAGACAGTCTTACTAGCTTCAAAGTTGCTAAGACTCTGCTCAAACTTCTGATTCTCCTGCCTCAGCTTCCCAGATTGCCAGGTCTACAGATAGGAGCCACCACACTCAGTTCTTCCAACTCCCTAATATCAACTCTAGATTATTTCCAATGCCCAATACAGTGTAAATAGTTCCTGGGCCACTTTATTTAAAGAATGATGAAGAGAAAAATGTCTACACATTTTCCTTATGTCTCCAAAAGTCTATCTCAAATGCTTTCTACGTATATCCAAAAGAGGAATTTCTGGGTCATAGGTGGATGACAGCCTTTCACCCCCAGAAACATCTAGTCTTCCTGAGGTCCAACTTGCCTATTTTGTCTTAGTGTCGTTGCCTATGTTTTTGTCAGATCCAAGAAAACACTGTCAAAGGCTTATCATCAAAGATTTCTCTCTACTTCCTGCTGAGCGTTTTCCAGGTTTAGCATTCACACTCAGCTATTTGACCCATTTCGAATTAATTTGCATATATAATGGTAGGAAAAGGTTCAACTTCTTTTATTAGCATGGATATTCGCTTTCTCAATGTCTTTATCAAAAAAACATTCCTTTCTGCAGGGAGCAGTACTAGCATGGCCATCAAAAATAGTTTGGTCCCAGGAGTGCAGGTGGATAGAAAGAATAACTTGCAGTATTCTGTAGCACAGCAGGAGAAACATGTTTACCCATGCCTAATTCTATCTTTCAAAAGAAGCAGCAAAGACAAGCTTGAATGTTCCCAACACGAAGCATGATAAACACTGAGATGATGGAGCAGGCACGTGTCCCCATCTGGGTGTGACACGCTGTGGAAATATAGCAAATCCCACAATGAAACGCCATGCATATGTGTTCTCCTTACATGGATATTCACCGTTTTAAATAGTTTAAACTCATTTGGCCATCCATGGGAGCGCTCGTTTGTCAGCTTGTTCTTCTGTTGCATTGATTATATATCTTTTTTCATGCTGGAAGCACACTCTTTTCATTACGGTAGCTTTGTACTGTAGTTTTGGAAATCAGACACTTTTGTTCCAATTTTTGTTCTTCATTTTCAGAGTCATTTTAAATATGTGTTGTCTCATGAGATTACATATGAATTTTAGGATGGAGTTTTCAATTTCTGCACAAAGTGTCCCTGACTTTTGTTTTATTCATGGTGATTCACCCTGGGGCATTCGAGCTGGGCTCCATCCCAGCTACTGCTACCACCTCCAGCTTTTTTGTTCAGGATCTCATTAATTTGCTAAATGGTCTGAGCTGGACTTAAATGTATAATCACCCTGCCTCAGCCTCCCACAGTGCTGGATTGACAGGATGTACCATGACAAGCATCTGAAAATGTCACTGAGCTTTCAATAGGACTCTCATTCAATCTATAGCACACTTTGGGTGATATGGTCAACTTAATACTATGAAGTCTTCCTTTACCTGAACATAGGTAAGATATCATGGTACAAACCTGAAATCCTAGTGCTTCAAGGGGGGAGGCAAGAGGAGGCCAACCGGAACTACACAGCAAGACTCTGTTACAAAAATAAAGTACAATAACTTCCACTGATGTATTTTTTTGAATATTTTCAGCAAAGTTTTGTAGTTTAGTTGCTTACAAATCTTTCACTTCTTAGATCAAACTGATTGGTTTGCAGGACTGAGGACTGAGCCCAGGGCCTTTACACTAAGCTATATGACAGCACGAAGCTTTGGAGTAGTGTTTCAGTTGTCTTGAAATAATGGGACAGAAGTCCCTTCCCAGCCTGTGTCCGCAGACACAAGCAAATCTCCATCATCCCTCGTGTTGTGCACCTTTCTTCCCTGATTGCTCGTGGCTGAGAGCTGGAGTTCAGCCTGAAATGAGAGACAGTTCTCCTCACCCCAGAAAGCCCTGAGGGGTCGGTGGAGATTCATGGAATCATTGAACTCATTGAGGTCATTCAAGTCAGGTGGCTCCTTTCACTCACTGACTCCCTCCTTCTGTCATGTCTTTTTTCTTTAACCTCTTCCATGGGTCATAAAGAACCCACAGGGCTCTGACACACATTTGTACTGCTTTTCTCCAATGAGAGGTGGCAAATCTCTTGCACAGGGCACAGCAGGTCAGAGCTGTGCTCCAGCTCTTTTCCAGTCTCACGCAGGGACTGGCTCTGCCCTTACTGTCTCTGTGGTGGGAAATGACACGGGCAAGATGCATGGTGCTAGCCTAGCCTCAAGCTGCCAAACCCAGTCCCCAATGGGCATGTGAGGCTTCCTAGCAGTCAAGGAAAGGAAAATGTGCAACTCGAGGCAGAATTCTCTGAACCCTGGCTCTGAATTTTCAGCTGTCTGTGGCTGAGAATGCACCTGCAGGTGATGCACCTCAGAGAGCGGTGCTTCCCTGTGGAGTCCTGCATGGAGGGAAGGGCAGGGCCAGAGGCCCACGTTTGCAGAGAGAATCAAGCCAGCCTTTCGGGACAAATCACTGGCCAAATATCGTGCAACAGTCAGTAGGAAGCTATGGTGGCTTTGGCTCATCATAGCCCACCCTGCCTTCCCCAAGGCCGGTCTTTATCTTGCTGTTGCTTGTTTTACTCAGCTGAAGCTTGCTATACAGAGACAGTCTCCCCGACCCCACTCTTCACTTTCACTCTCTTGAATTTTAACTAAAGGAAAAAAGGTCAGCGGGAAATACTATTGGACCTTCCCATGAGCTTTCTGCACAGGTTCTACACAGATGGGCTGAGCACAGGCTCGAGTCCTAGGTGCTTCACAGAGTTCTAGGGAAGCTGCTGGGCCTCCGTGGGTGTGCTGGGCGCAAAGGGAGGGAGAGCCTGCTCCTTACTGTCACCTGAGCCAAGGCATGCACACTCTGTGGAGGGTCAGGGCTGTCCTTACACTCACCATACAGAACTCACGGTGGCCCAGAGCCTTTGCTGAATATCTGAGGAAAGGGCATAGCTAGGACCCGGGTCCAGGCTCAGCCGGTTCCCTCCTCTGTCCACAGAGCCAGTGTCGCGACCCTCCGTCCAGGCCAGCAACACCCCTCTCACAGAAGATGATCCTGTGGTCCTCACCTGCCTCTCAAACAACACTGACATCTCCATCCGGTGGATCTTCAATAACCAAGATCTGCAGCTCTCAGAGAGGATGACTCTGTCTGAGAACAAAAGCACCCTCACCATCAACCCTGTCAAGATTGAGGATGCTGGGGAGTATCAGTGTGAGGTCTCCAACCCTGTCAGTTCCAACAGGAGCGACACCCTCTGGCTGCCAGTTTTCAGTGAGTAGCTTCTCCTCTCCTCCCTCTTCTGGGGAGAATTTCTCACCCAGTAATGTGCAAGATAGATACAAGTCACAGGGAATGTACCAATTGATATACAAATGTAGTCAAGGGACTTGCAAAGCAGTTAAGAGCTTTGCCTCTGACTCCACAGTCACCCCCAGTCTTAACAGGGAGTTTGTTCCAGGAGCCCCACAGACACCAGCATCTGGGGACACTCTAATTCCTATGTTCCAAAGTCACATTTACGTGGCACTGTGAGAATTCTCCCACATAGTTTTGTTTGTTTGATTGCTTGCTTGCTTGCTTGCTTGCTTGCTTGCTTGTGTAAAGTACTAGCGCTTAAGCCTAGAGCCCTCCTTCCGAGCTACATCCCTACCCTATTTTATTTCCTTCTTTTTTTATTTTTATTTTTGGTGTGCTTTGGGGATCGAACTTATGATCTCGTGCTTGTCAGGCTGTACACTGTGCTGCTGAGGTGTATCCCTGGCCTGGGTCTTATTCTCTCATTTTGAGACAGTCTCACTAGCTTCAAAGTTGCTAAGACTCTGCTCAAACTTCTGATTCTCCTGCCTCAGCTTCCCAGATTGCCAGGTCTACAGATAGGAGCCACCACACTCAGTTCTTCCAACTCCCTAATATCAACTCTAGATTATTTCCAATGCCCAATACAGTGTAAATAGTTCCTGGGCCACTTTATTTAAAGAATGATGAAGAGAAAAATGTCTACACATTTTCCTTATGTCTCCAAAAGTCTATCTCAAATGCTTTCTACGTATATCCAAAAGAGGAATTTCTGGGTCATAGGTGGATGACAGCCTTTCACCCCCAGAAACATCTAGTCTTCCTGAGGTCCAACTTGCCTATTTTGTCTTAGTGTCGTTGCCTATGTTTTTGTCAGATCCAAGAAAACACTGTCAAAGGCTTATCATCAAAGATTTCTCTCTACTTCCTGCTGAGCGTTTTCCAGGTTTAGCATTCACACTCAGCTATTTGACCCATTTCGAATTAATTTGCATATATAATGGTAGGAAAAGGTTCAACTTCTTTTATTAGCATGGATATTCGCTTTCTCAATGTCTTTATCAAAAAAACATTCCTTTCTGCAGGGAGCAGTACTAGCATGGCCATCAAAAATAGTTTGGTCCCAGGAGTGCAGGTGGATAGAAAGAATAACTTGCAGTATTCTGTAGCACAGCAGGAGAAACATGTTTACCCATGCCTAATTCTATCTTTCAAAAGAAGCAGCAAAGACAAGCTTGAATGTTCCCAACACGAAGCATGATAAACACTGAGATGATGGAGCAGGCACGTGTCCCCATCTGGGTGTGACACGCTGTGGAAATATAGCAAATCCCACAATGAAACGCCATGCATATGTGTTCTCCTTACATGGATATTCACCGTTTTAAATAGTTTAAACTCATTTGGCCATCCATGGGAGCGCTCGTTTGTCAGCTTGTTCTTCTGTTGCATTGATTATATATCTTTTTTCATGCTGGAAGCACACTCTTTTCATTACGGTAGCTTTGTACTGTAGTTTTGGAAATCAGACACTTTTGTTCCAATTTTTGTTCTTCATTTTCAGAGTCATTTTAAATATGTGTTGTCTCATGAGATTACATATGAATTTTAGGATGGAGTTTTCAATTTCTGCACAAAGTGTCCCTGACTTTTGTTTTATTCATGGTGATTCACCCTGGGGCATTCGAGCTGGGCTCCATCCCAGCTACTGCTACCACCTCCAGCTTTTTTGTTCAGGATCTCATTAATTTGCTAAATGGTCTGAGCTGGACTTAAATGTATAATCACCCTGCCTCAGCCTCCCACAGTGCTGGATTGACAGGATGTACCATGACAAGCATCTGAAAATGTCACTGAGCTTTCAATAGGACTCTCATTCAATCTATAGCACACTTTGGGTGATATGGTCAACTTAATACTATGAAGTCTTCCTTTACCTGAACATAGGTAAGATATCATGGTACAAACCTGAAATCCTAGTGCTTCAAGGGGGGAGGCAAGAGGAGGCCAACCGGAACTACACAGCAAGACTCTGTTACAAAAATAAAGTACAATAACTTCCACTGATGTATTTTTTTGAATATTTTCAGCAAAGTTTTGTAGTTTAGTTGCTTACAAATCTTTCACTTCTTAGATCAAACTGATTGGTTTGCAGGACTGAGGACTGAGCCCAGGGCCTTTACACTAAGCTATATGACAGCACGAAGCTTTGGAGTAGTGTTTCAGTTGTCTTGAAATAATGGGACAGAAGTCCCTTCCCAGCCTGTGTCCGCAGACACAAGCAAATCTCCATCATCCCTCGTGTTGTGCACCTTTCTTCCCTGATTGCTCGTGGCTGAGAGCTGGAGTTCAGCCTGAAATGAGAGATAGTTCTCCTCACCCCAGAAAGCCCTGAGGGGTCGGTGGAGATTCATGGAATCATTGAACTCATTGAGGTCATTCAAGTCAGGTGGCTCCTTTCACTCACTGACTCCCTCCTTCTGTCATGTCTTTTTTCTTTAACCTCTTCCATGGGTCATAAAGAACCCACAGGGCTCTGACACACATTTGTACTGCTTTTCTCCAATGAGAGGTGGCAAATCTCTTGCACAGGGCACAGCAGGTCAGAGCTGTGCTCCAGCTCTTTTCCAGTCTCACGCAGGGACTGGCTCTGCCCTTACTGTCTCTGTGGTGGGAAATGACACGGGCAAGATGCATGGTGCTAGCCTAGCCTCAAGCTGCCAAACCCAGTCCCCAATGGGCATGTGAGGCTTCCTAGCAGTCAAGGAAAGGAAAATGTGCAACTCGAGGCAGAATTCTCTGAACCCTGGCTCTGAATTTTCAGCTGTCTGTGGCTGAGAATGCACCTGCAGGTGATGCACCTCAGAGAGCGGTGCTTCCCTGTGGAGTCCTGCATGGAGGGAAGGGCAGGGCCAGAGGCCCACGTTTGCAGAGAGAATCAAGCCAGCCTTTCGGGACAAATCACTGGCCAAATATCGTGCAACAGTCAGTAGGAGGCTATGGTGGCTTTGGCTCATCATAGCCCACCCTGCCTTCCCCAAGGCCGGTCTTTATCTTGCTGTTGCTTGTTTTACTCAGCTGAAGCTTGCTATACAGAGACAGTCTCCCCGACCCCACTCTTCACTTTCACTCTCTTGAATTTTAACTAAAGGAAAAAAGGTCAGCGGGAAATACTATTGGACCTTCCCATGAGCTTTCTGCACAGGTTCTACACAGATGGGCTGAGCACAGGCTCGAGTCCTAGGTGCTTCACAGAGTTCTAGGGAAGCTGCTGGGCCTCCGTGGGTGTGCTGGGCGCAAAGGGAGGGAGAGCCTGCTCCTTACTGTCACCTGAGCCAAGGCATGCACCCTCTGTGGAGGGTCAGGGCTGTCCTTACACTCACCATACAGAACTCACGGTGGCCCAGAGCCTTTGCTGAATATCTGAGGAAAGGGCATAGCTAGGACCCGGGTCCAGGCTCAGCCGGTTCCCTCCTCTGTCCACAGAGCCAGTGTCGCGACCCTCCGTCCAGGCCAGCAACACCCCTCTCACAGAAGATGATCCTGTGGTCCTCACCTGCCTCTCAAACAACACTGACATCTCCATCCGGTGGATCTTCAATAACCAAGATCTGCAGCTCTCAGAGAGGATGACTCTGTCTGAGAACAAAAGCACCCTCACCATCAACCCTGTCAAGATTGAGGATGCTGGGGAGTATCAGTGTGAGGTCTCCAACCCTGTCAGTTCCAACAGGAGCGACACCCTCTGGCTGCCAGTTTTCAGTGAGTAGCTTCTCCTCTCCTCCCTCTTCTGGGGAGAATTTCTCACCCAGTAATGTGCAAGATAGATACAAGTCACAGGGAATGTACCAATTGATATACAAATGTAGTCAAGGGACTTGCAAAGCAGTTAAGAGCTTTGCCTCTGACTCCACAGTCACCCCCAGTCTTAACAGGGAGTTTGTTCCAGGAGCCCCACAGACACCAGCATCTGGGGACACTCTAATTCCTATGTTCCAAAGTCACATTTACGTGGCACTGTGAGAATTCTCCCACATAGTTTTGTTTGTTTGATTGCTTGCTTGCTTGCTTGCTTGCTTGCTTGCTTGTGTAAAGTACTAGCGCTTAAGCCTAGAGCCCTCCTTCCGAGCTACATCCCTACCCTATTTTATTTCCTTCTTTTTTTATTTTTATTTTTGGTGTGCTTTGGGGATCGAACTTATGATCTCGTGCTTGTCAGGCTGTACACTGTGCTGCTGAGGTGTATCCCTGGCCTGGGTCTTATTCTCTCATTTTGAGACAGTCTCACTAGCTTCAAAGTTGCTAAGACTCTGCTCAAACTTCTGATTCTCCTGCCTCAGCTTCCCAGATTGCCAGGTCTACAGATAGGAGCCACCACACTCAGTTCTTCCAACTCCCTAATATCAACTCTAGATTATTTCCAATGCCCAATACAGTGTAAATAGTTCCTGGGCCACTTTATTTAAAGAATGATGAAGAGAAAAATGTCTACACATTTTCCTTATGTCTCCAAAAGTCTATCTCAAATGCTTTCTACGTATATCCAAAAGAGGAATTTCTGGGTCATAGGTGGATGACAGCCTTTCACCCCCAGAAACATCTAGTCTTCCTGAGGTCCAACTTGCCTATTTTGTCTTAGTGTCGTTGCCTATGTTTTTGTCAGATCCAAGAAAACACTGTCAAAGGCTTATCATCAAAGATTTCTCTCTACTTCCTGCTGAGCGTTTTCCAGGTTTAGCATTCACACTCAGCTATTTGACCCATTTCGAATTAATTTGCATATATAATGGTAGGAAAAGGTTCAACTTCTTTTATTAGCATGGATATTCGCTTTCTCAATGTCTTTATCAAAAAAACATTCCTTTCTGCAGGGAGCAGTACTAGCATGGCCATCAAAAATAGTTTGGTCCCAGGAGTGCAGGTGGATAGAAAGAATAACTTGCAGTATTCTGTAGCACAGCAGGAGAAACATGTTTACCCATGCCTAATTCTATCTTTCAAAAGAAGCAGCAAAGACAAGCTTGAATGTTCCCAACACGAAGCATGATAAACACTGAGATGATGGAGCAGGCACGTGTCCCCATCTGGGTGTGACACGCTGTGGAAATATAGCAAATCCCACAATGAAACGCCATGCATATGTGTTCTCCTTACATGGATATTCACCGTTTTAAATAGTTTAAACTCATTTGGCCATCCATGGGAGCGCTCGTTTGTCAGCTTGTTCTTCTGTTGCATTGATTATATATCTTTTTTCATGCTGGAAGCACACTCTTTTCATTACGGTAGCTTTGTACTGTAGTTTTGGAAATCAGACACTTTTGTTCCAATTTTTGTTCTTCATTTTCAGAGTCATTTTAAATATGTGTTGTCTCATGAGATTACATATGAATTTTAGGATGGAGTTTTCAATTTCTGCACAAAGTGTCCCTGACTTTTGTTTTATTCATGGTGATTCACCCTGGGGCATTCGAGCTGGGCTCCATCCCAGCTACTGCTACCACCTCCAGCTTTTTTGTTCAGGATCTCATTAATTTGCTAAATGGTCTGAGCTGGACTTAAATGTATAATCACCCTGCCTCAGCCTCCCACAGTGCTGGATTGACAGGATGTACCATGACAAGCATCTGAAAATGTCACTGAGCTTTCAATAGGACTCTCATTCAATCTATAGCACACTTTGGGTGATATGGTCAACTTAATACTATGAAGTCTTCCTTTACCTGAACATAGGTAAGATATCATGGTACAAACCTGAAATCCTAGTGCTTCAAGGGGGGAGGCAAGAGGAGGCCAACCGGAACTACACAGCAAGACTCTGTTACAAAAATAAAGTACAATAACTTCCACTGATGTATTTTTTTGAATATTTTCAGCAAAGTTTTGTAGTTTAGTTGCTTACAAATCTTTCACTTCTTAGATCAAACTGATTGGTTTGCAGGACTGAGGACTGAGCCCAGGGCCTTTACACTAAGCTATATGACAGCACGAAGCTTTGGAGTAGTGTTTCAGTTGTCTTGAAATAATGGGACAGAAGTCCCTTCCCAGCCTGTGTCCGCAGACACAAGCAAATCTCCATCATCCCTCGTGTTGTGCACCTTTCTTCCCTGATTGCTCGTGGCTGAGAGCTGGAGTTCAGCCTGAAATGAGAGACAGTTCTCCTCACCCCAGAAAGCCCTGAGGGGTCGGTGGAGATTCATGGAATCATTGAACTCATTGAGGTCATTCAAGTCAGGTGGCTCCTTTCACTCACTGACTCCCTCCTTCTGTCATGTCTTTTTTCTTTAACCTCTTCCATGGGTCATAAAGAACCCACAGGGCTCTGACACACATTTGTACTGCTTTTCTCCAATGAGAGGTGGCAAATCTCTTGCACAGGGCACAGCAGGTCAGAGCTGTGCTCCAGCTCTTTTCCAGTCTCACGCAGGGACTGGCTCTGCCCTTACTGTCTCTGTGGTGGGAAATGACACGGGCAAGATGCATGGTGCTAGCCTAGCCTCAAGCTGCCAAACCCAGTCCCCAATGGGCATGTGAGGCTTCCTAGCAGTCAAGGAAAGGAAAATGTGCAACTCGAGGCAGAATTCTCTGAACCCTGGCTCTGAATTTTCAGCTGTCTGTGGCTGAGAATGCACCTGCAGGTGATGCACCTCAGAGAGCGGTGCTTCCCTGTGGAGTCCTGCATGGAGGGAAGGGCAGGGCCAGAGGCCCACGTTTGCAGAGAGAATCAAGCCAGCCTTTCGGGACAAATCACTGGCCAAATATCGTGCAACAGTCAGTAGGAGGCTATGGTGGCTTTGGCTCATCATAGCCCACCCTGCCTTCCCCAAGGCCGGTCTTTATCTTGCTGTTGCTTGTTTTACTCAGCTGAAGCTTGCTATACAGAGACAGTCTCCCCGACCCCACTCTTCACTTTCACTCTCTTGAATTTTAACTAAAGGAAAAAAGGTCAGCGGGAAATACTATTGGACCTTCCCATGAGCTTTCTGCACAGGTTCTACACAGATGGGCTGAGCACAGGCTCGAGTCCTAGGTGCTTCACAGAGTTCTAGGGAAGCTGCTGGGCCTCCGTGGGTGTGCTGGGCGCAAAGGGAGGGAGAGCCTGCTCCTTACTGTCACCTGAGCCAAGGCATGCACACTCTGTGGAGGGTCAGGGCTGTCCTTACACTCACCATACAGAACTCACGGTGGCCCAGAGCCTTTGCTGAATATCTGAGGAAAGGGCATAGCTAGGACCCGGGTCCAGGCTCAGCCGGTTCCCTCCTCTGTCCACAGAGCCAGTGTCGCGACCCTCCGTCCAGGCCAGCAACACCCCTCTCACAGAAGATGATCCTGTGGTCCTCACCTGCCTCTCAAACAACACTGACATCTCCATCCGGTGGATCTTCAATAACCAAGATCTGCAGCTCTCAGAGAGGATGACTCTGTCTGAGAACAAAAGCACCCTCACCATCAACCCTGTCAAGATTGAGGATGCTGGGGAGTATCAGTGTGAGGTCTCCAACCCTGTCAGTTCCAACAGGAGCGACACCCTCTGGCTGCCAGTTTTCAGTGAGTAGCTTCTCCTCTCCTCCCTCTTCTGGGGAGAATTTCTCACCCAGTAATGTGCAAGATAGATACAAGTCACAGGGAATGTACCAATTGATATACAAATGTAGTCAAGGGACTTGCAAAGCAGTTAAGAGCTTTGCCTCTGACTCCACAGTCACCCCCAGTCTTAACAGGGAGTTTGTTCCAGGAGCCCCACAGACACCAGCATCTGGGGACACTCTAATTCCTATGTTCCAAAGTCACATTTACGTGGCACTGTGAGAATTCTCCCACATAGTTTTGTTTGTTTGATTGCTTGCTTGCTTGCTTGCTTGCTTGCTTGCTTGTGTAAAGTACTAGCGCTTAAGCCTAGAGCCCTCCTTCCGAGCTACATCCCTACCCTATTTTATTTCCTTCTTTTTTTATTTTTATTTTTGGTGTGCTTTGGGGATCGAACTTATGATCTCGTGCTTGTCAGGCTGTACACTGTGCTGCTGAGGTGTATCCCTGGCCTGGGTCTTATTCTCTCATTTTGAGACAGTCTCACTAGCTTCAAAGTTGCTAAGACTCTGCTCAAACTTCTGATTCTCCTGCCTCAGCTTCCCAGATTGCCAGGTCTACAGATAGGAGCCACCACACTCAGTTCTTCCAACTCCCTAATATCAACTCTAGATTATTTCCAATGCCCAATACAGTGTAAATAGTTCCTGGGCCACTTTATTTAAAGAATGATGAAGAGAAAAATGTCTACACATTTTCCTTATGTCTCCAAAAGTCTATCTCAAATGCTTTCTACGTATATCCAAAAGAGGAATTTCTGGGTCATAGGTGGATGACAGCCTTTCACCCCCAGAAACATCTAGTCTTCCTGAGGTCCAACTTGCCTATTTTGTCTTAGTGTCGTTGCCTATGTTTTTGTCAGATCCAAGAAAACACTGTCAAAGGCTTATCATCAAAGATTTCTCTCTACTTCCTGCTGAGCGTTTTCCAGGTTTAGCATTCACACTCAGCTATTTGACCCATTTCGAATTAATTTGCATATATAATGGTAGGAAAAGGTTCAACTTCTTTTATTAGCATGGATATTCGCTTTCTCAATGTCTTTATCAAAAAAACATTCCTTTCTGCAGGGAGCAGTACTAGCATGGCCATCAAAAATAGTTTGGTCCCAGGAGTGCAGGTGGATAGAAAGAATAACTTGCAGTATTCTGTAGCACAGCAGGAGAAACATGTTTACCCATGCCTAATTCTATCTTTCAAAAGAAGCAGCAAAGACAAGCTTGAATGTTCCCAACACGAAGCATGATAAACACTGAGATGATGGAGCAGGCACGTGTCCCCATCTGGGTGTGACACGCTGTGGAAATATAGCAAATCCCACAATGAAACGCCATGCATATGTGTTCTCCTTACATGGATATTCACCGTTTTAAATAGTTTAAACTCATTTGGCCATCCATGGGAGCGCTCGTTTGTCAGCTTGTTCTTCTGTTGCATTGATTATATATCTTTTTTCATGCTGGAAGCACACTCTTTTCATTACGGTAGCTTTGTACTGTAGTTTTGGAAATCAGACACTTTTGTTCCAATTTTTGTTCTTCATTTTCAGAGTCATTTTAAATATGTGTTGTCTCATGAGATTACATATGAATTTTAGGATGGAGTTTTCAATTTCTGCACAAAGTGTCCCTGACTTTTGTTTTATTCATGGTGATTCACCCTGGGGCATTCGAGCTGGGCTCCATCCCAGCTACTGCTACCACCTCCAGCTTTTTTGTTCAGGATCTCATTAATTTGCTAAATGGTCTGAGCTGGACTTAAATGTATAATCACCCTGCCTCAGCCTCCCACAGTGCTGGATTGACAGGATGTACCATGACAAGCATCTGAAAATGTCACTGAGCTTTCAATAGGACTCTCATTCAATCTATAGCACACTTTGGGTGATATGGTCAACTTAATACTATGAAGTCTTCCTTTACCTGAACATAGGTAAGATATCATGGTACAAACCTGAAATCCTAGTGCTTCAAGGGGGGAGGCAAGAGGAGGCCAACCGGAACTACACAGCAAGACTCTGTTACAAAAATAAAGTACAATAACTTCCACTGATGTATTTTTTTGAATATTTTCAGCAAAGTTTTGTAGTTTAGTTGCTTACAAATCTTTCACTTCTTAGATCAAACTGATTGGTTTGCAGGACTGAGGACTGAGCCCAGGGCCTTTACACTAAGCTATATGACAGCACGAAGCTTTGGAGTAGTGTTTCAGTTGTCTTGAAATAATGGGACAGAAGTCCCTTCCCAGCCTGTGTCCGCAGACACAAGCAAATCTCCATCATCCCTCGTGTTGTGCACCTTTCTTCCCTGATTGCTCGTGGCTGAGAGCTGGAGTTCAGCCTGAAATGAGAGACAGTTCTCCTCACCCCAGAAAGCCCTGAGGGGTCGGTGGAGATTCATGGAATCATTGAACTCATTGAGGTCATTCAAGTCAGGTGGCTCCTTTCACTCACTGACTCCCTCCTTCTGTCATGTCTTTTTTCTTTAACCTCTTCCATGGGTCATAAAGAACCCACAGGGCTCTGACACACATTTGTACTGCTTTTCTCCAATGAGAGGTGGCAAATCTCTTGCACAGGGCACAGCAGGTCAGAGCTGTGCTCCAGCTCTTTTCCAGTCTCACGCAGGGACTGGCTCTGCCCTTACTGTCTCTGTGGTGGGAAATGACACGGGCAAGATGCATGGTGCTAGCCTAGCCTCAAGCTGCCAAACCCAGTCCCCAATGGGCATGTGAGGCTTCCTAGCAGTCAAGGAAAGGAAAATGTGCAACTCGAGGCAGAATTCTCTGAACCCTGGCTCTGAATTTTCAGCTGTCTGTGGCTGAGAATGCACCTGCAGGTGATGCACCTCAGAGAGCGGTGCTTCCCTGTGGAGTCCTGCATGGAGGGAAGGGCAGGGCCAGAGGCCCACGTTTGCAGAGAGAATCAAGCCAGCCTTTCGGGACAAATCACTGGCCAAATATCGTGCAACAGTCAGTAGGAGGCTATGGTGGCTTTGGCTCATCATAGCCCACCCTGCCTTCCCCAAGGCCGGTCTTTATCTTGCTGTTGCTTGTTTTACTCAGCTGAAGCTTGCTATACAGAGACAGTCTCCCCGACCCCACTCTTCACTTTCACTCTCTTGAATTTTAACTAAAGGAAAAAAGGTCAGCGGGAAATACTATTGGACCTTCCCATGAGCTTTCTGCACAGGTTCTACACAGATGGGCTGAGCACAGGCTCGAGTCCTAGGTGCTTCACAGAGTTCTAGGGAAGCTGCTGGGCCTCCGTGGGTGTGCTGGGCGCAAAGGGAGGGAGAGCCTGCTCCTTACTGTCACCTGAGCCAAGGCATGCACACTCTGTGGAGGGTCAGGGCTGTCCTTACACTCACCATACAGAACTCACGGTGGCCCAGAGCCTTTGCTGAATATCTGAGGAAAGGGCATAGCTAGGACCCGGGTCCAGGCTCAGCCGGTTCCCTCCTCTGTCCACAGAGCCAGTGTCGCGACCCTCCGTCCAGGCCAGCAACACCCCTCTCACAGAAGATGATCCTGTGGTCCTCACCTGCCTCTCAAACAACACTGACATCTCCATCCGGTGGATCTTCAATAACCAAGATCTGCAGCTCTCAGAGAGGATGACTCTGTCTGAGAACAAAAGCACCCTCACCATCAACCCTGTCAAGATTGAGGATGCTGGGGAGTATCAGTGTGAGGTCTCCAACCCTGTCAGTTCCAACAGGAGCGACACCCTCTGGCTGCCAGTTTTCAGTGAGTAGCTTCTCCTCTCCTCCCTCTTCTGGGGAGAATTTCTCACCCAGTAATGTGCAAGATAGATACAAGTCACAGGGAATGTACCAATTGATATACAAATGTAGTCAAGGGACTTGCAAAGCAGTTAAGAGCTTTGCCTCTGACTCCACAGTCACCCCCAGTCTTAACAGGGAGTTTGTTCCAGGAGCCCCACAGACACCAGCATCTGGGGACACTCTAATTCCTATGTTCCAAAGTCACATTTACGTGGCACTGTGAGAATTCTCCCACATAGTTTTGTTTGTTTGATTGCTTGCTTGCTTGCTTGCTTGCTTGCTTGCTTGTGTAAAGTACTAGCGCTTAAGCCTAGAGCCCTCCTTCCGAGCTACATCCCTACCCTATTTTATTTCCTTCTTTTTTTATTTTTATTTTTGGTGTGCTTTGGGGATCGAACTTATGATCTCGTGCTTGTCAGGCTGTACACTGTGCTGCTGAGGTGTATCCCTGGCCTGGGTCTTATTCTCTCATTTTGAGACAGTCTCACTAGCTTCAAAGTTGCTAAGACTCTGCTCAAACTTCTGATTCTCCTGCCTCAGCTTCCCAGATTGCCAGGTCTACAGATAGGAGCCACCACACTCAGTTCTTCCAACTCCCTAATATCAACTCTAGATTATTTCCAATGCCCAATACAGTGTAAATAGTTCCTGGGCCACTTTATTTAAAGAATGATGAAGAGAAAAATGTCTACACATTTTCCTTATGTCTCCAAAAGTCTATCTCAAATGCTTTCTACGTATATCCAAAAGAGGAATTTCTGGGTCATAGGTGGATGACAGCCTTTCACCCCCAGAAACATCTAGTCTTCCTGAGGTCCAACTTGCCTATTTTGTCTTAGTGTCGTTGCCTATGTTTTTGTCAGATCCAAGAAAACACTGTCAAAGGCTTATCATCAAAGATTTCTCTCTACTTCCTGCTGAGCGTTTTCCAGGTTTAGCATTCACACTCAGCTATTTGACCCATTTCGAATTAATTTGCATATATAATGGTAGGAAAAGGTTCAACTTCTTTTATTAGCATGGATATTCGCTTTCTCAATGTCTTTATCAAAAAAACATTCCTTTCTGCAGGGAGCAGTACTAGCATGGCCATCAAAAATAGTTTGGTCCCAGGAGTGCAGGTGGATAGAAAGAATAACTTGCAGTATTCTGTAGCACAGCAGGAGAAACATGTTTACCCATGCCTAATTCTATCTTTCAAAAGAAGCAGCAAAGACAAGCTTGAATGTTCCCAACACGAAGCATGATAAACACTGAGATGATGGAGCAGGCACGTGTCCCCATCTGGGTGTGACACGCTGTGGAAATATAGCAAATCCCACAATGAAACGCCATGCATATGTGTTCTCCTTACATGGATATTCACCGTTTTAAATAGTTTAAACTCATTTGGCCATCCATGGGAGCGCTCGTTTGTCAGCTTGTTCTTCTGTTGCATTGATTATATATCTTTTTTCATGCTGGAAGCACACTCTTTTCATTACGGTAGCTTTGTACTGTAGTTTTGGAAATCAGACACTTTTGTTCCAATTTTTGTTCTTCATTTTCAGAGTCATTTTAAATATGTGTTGTCTCATGAGATTACATATGAATTTTAGGATGGAGTTTTCAATTTCTGCACAAAGTGTCCCTGACTTTTGTTTTATTCATGGTGATTCACCCTGGGGCATTCGAGCTGGGCTCCATCCCAGCTACTGCTACCACCTCCAGCTTTTTTGTTCAGGATCTCATTAATTTGCTAAATGGTCTGAGCTGGACTTAAATGTATAATCACCCTGCCTCAGCCTCCCACAGTGCTGGATTGACAGGATGTACCATGACAAGCATCTGAAAATGTCACTGAGCTTTCAATAGGACTCTCATTCAATCTATAGCACACTTTGGGTGATATGGTCAACTTAATACTATGAAGTCTTCCTTTACCTGAACATAGGTAAGATATCATGGTACAAACCTGAAATCCTAGTGCTTCAAGGGGGGAGGCAAGAGGAGGCCAACCGGAACTACACAGCAAGACTCTGTTACAAAAATAAAGTACAATAACTTCCACTGATGTATTTTTTTGAATATTTTCAGCAAAGTTTTGTAGTTTAGTTGCTTACAAATCTTTCACTTCTTAGATCAAACTGATTGGTTTGCAGGACTGAGGACTGAGCCCAGGGCCTTTACACTAAGCTATATGACAGCACGAAGCTTTGGAGTAGTGTTTCAGTTGTCTTGAAATAATGGGACAGAAGTCCCTTCCCAGCCTGTGTCCGCAGACACAAGCAAATCTCCATCATCCCTCGTGTTGTGCACCTTTCTTCCCTGATTGCTCGTGGCTGAGAGCTGGAGTTCAGCCTGAAATGAGAGACAGTTCTCCTCACCCCAGAAAGCCCTGAGGGGTCGGTGGAGATTCATGGAATCATTGAACTCATTGAGGTCATTCAAGTCAGGTGGCTCCTTTCACTCACTGACTCCCTCCTTCTGTCATGTCTTTTTTCTTTAACCTCTTCCATGGGTCATAAAGAACCCACAGGGCTCTGACACACATTTGTACTGCTTTTCTCCAATGAGAGGTGGCAAATCTCTTGCACAGGGCACAGCAGGTCAGAGCTGTGCTCCAGCTCTTTTCCAGTCTCACGCAGGGACTGGCTCTGCCCTTACTGTCTCTGTGGTGGGAAATGACACGGGCAAGATGCATGGTGCTAGCCTAGCCTCAAGCTGCCAAACCCAGTCCCCAATGGGCATGTGAGGCTTCCTAGCAGTCAAGGAAAGGAAAATGTGCAACTCGAGGCAGAATTCTCTGAACCCTGGCTCTGAATTTTCAGCTGTCTGTGGCTGAGAATGCACCTGCAGGTGATGCACCTCAGAGAGCGGTGCTTCCCTGTGGAGTCCTGCATGGAGGGAAGGGCAGGGCCAGAGGCCCACGTTTGCAGAGAGAATCAAGCCAGCCTTTCGGGACAAATCACTGGCCAAATATCGTGCAACAGTCAGTAGGAGGCTATGGTGGCTTTGGCTCATCATAGCCCACCCTGCCTTCCCCAAGGCCGGTCTTTATCTTGCTGTTGCTTGTTTTACTCAGCTGAAGCTTGCTATACAGAGACAGTCTCCCCGACCCCACTCTTCACTTTCACTCTCTTGAATTTTAACTAAAGGAAAAAAGGTCAGCGGGAAATACTATTGGACCTTCCCATGAGCTTTCTGCACAGGTTCTACACAGATGGGCTGAGCACAGGCTCGAGTCCTAGGTGCTTCACAGAGTTCTAGGGAAGCTGCTGGGCCTCCGTGGGTGTGCTGGGCGCAAAGGGAGGGAGAGCCTGCTCCTTACTGTCACCTGAGCCAAGGCATGCACACTCTGTGGAGGGTCAGGGCTGTCCTTACACTCACCATACAGAACTCACGGTGGCCCAGAGCCTTTGCTGAATATCTGAGGAAAGGGCATAGCTAGGACCCGGGTCCAGGCTCAGCCGGTTCCCTCCTCTGTCCACAGAGCCAGTGTCGCGACCCTCCGTCCAGGCCAGCAACACCCCTCTCACAGAAGATGATCCTGTGGTCCTCACCTGCCTCTCAAACAACACTGACATCTCCATCCGGTGGATCTTCAATAACCAAGATCTGCAGCTCTCAGAGAGGATGACTCTGTCTGAGAACAAAAGCACCCTCACCATCAACCCTGTCAAGATTGAGGATGCTGGGGAGTATCAGTGTGAGGTCTCCAACCCTGTCAGTTCCAACAGGAGCGACACCCTCTGGCTGCCAGTTTTCAGTGAGTAGCTTCTCCTCTCCTCCCTCTTCTGGGGAGAATTTCTCACCCAGTAATGTGCAAGATAGATACAAGTCACAGGGAATGTACCAATTGATATACAAATGTAGTCAAGGGACTTGCAAAGCAGTTAAGAGCTTTGCCTCTGACTCCACAGTCACCCCCAGTCTTAACAGGGAGTTTGTTCCAGGAGCCCCACAGACACCAGCATCTGGGGACACTCTAATTCCTATGTTCCAAAGTCACATTTACGTGGCACTGTGAGAATTCTCCCACATAGTTTTGTTTGTTTGATTGCTTGCTTGCTTGCTTGCTTGCTTGCTTGCTTGTGTAAAGTACTAGCGCTTAAGCCTAGAGCCCTCCTTCCGAGCTACATCCCTACCCTATTTTATTTCCTTCTTTTTTTATTTTTATTTTTGGTGTGCTTTGGGGATCGAACTTATGATCTCGTGCTTGTCAGGCTGTACACTGTGCTGCTGAGGTGTATCCCTGGCCTGGGTCTTATTCTCTCATTTTGAGACAGTCTTACTAGCTTCAAAGTTGCTAAGACTCTGCTCAAACTTCTGATTCTCTTGCCTCAGCTTCCCAGATTGCCAGGTCTACAGATAGGAGCCACCACACTCAGTTCTTCCAACTCCCTAATATCAACTCTAGATTATTTCCAATGCCCAATACAGTGTAAATAGTTCCTGGGCCACTTTATTTAAAGAATGATGAAGAGAAAAATGTCTACACATTTTCCTTATGTCTCCAAAAGTCTATCTCAAATGCTTTCTACGTATATCCAAAAGAGGAATTTCTGGGTGATAGGTGCATGACAGGCTTTCACCCCCAGAAACTTCTAGTCTTCCTGAGGTCCAACTTGCCTATTTTGTCTTAGTGTTGTTGCCTATGGTTTTGTCAGATCCAAGAAAACACTGTCAAAGGCTATATCATCAAAGATTTCTCTCTACTTCCTGCTGAGCGTTTTCCAGGTTTAGCATTCACACTCAGCTATTTGACCCATTTCGAATTAATTTGCATATATAATGGTAGGAAAAGGTTCTACTTATTTGATTTGCATGGATATTCGCTTTCTCAATGTCTTTATCGAAAAAACATTCCTTTCTGCATGGAGCAGTACTAGCATGGCCATTAAAAATAATTTGGTCCCAGGAGTGCAGGTGGATACAAAGAATAACTTGCCATATTCGTAGCACAGCAGGAGAAACATGTTTGCCCGTGCCTAATTCTATATAGCAAATCCCACGATGAAACGCCATGCATATGTGTTCTCCTTACATGTAAATTCACCGTTTTAAATAGTTTAAACTCATTTGGCCATCCATGGGAGCACTCGTTTGTCAGCTTGTTCTTCTGTTGCATTGATTATATATCTTTCTTCATGCCGGGAGCACACTCTTTTCATTACAGTAGCTTTGTACTGTAGCTTTAGAAATCAGACACTTTTGTTCCAATCTTTGTTCTTCAATTTTCAGAGTCATTTTAAATATGTGTTGTCTCATCAGATTACATATGAATTCTGGGATGGAGTTTTCAATTTCTGCACAAAGTGTCCCTGACTTTTGTTTTATTCATGGTGATTAACCCTGGGGCCTTCGCGCTGAGCTCCATCCCCAGCTACTGCTACCACCTCCAGCTTTTTTGTTCAGAGTCTGACTAATTTGCTAAATGGCCTGAGCTGGGCTTAAATGTATGATCACCCTGCCTCAGCCTCCCACAGTGCTGGACTGACAGGATGTACCATGACAATCACCTGAAAATGTCACTGAGCTTTCAATAAGACTCTCATTCAATCTATAGCTCACTTTGGGTGATATGGTCAACTTAATAATATGAAGTCTTCCTTTACCTGAACATAGGTAAGATATCGTGGTATAAACCTGTAATCCCAGCATTTCAAGAGGGGAGACAAGAGGAGTCCAACAGGAACTACACAGCAAGACTCTGTTACAAAAATAAAGTACAATAACTTCCACTGATGTATTTTTTTAAAATATTTTCAGCAAAGTTTTGTAGTTTAATTAGGGTACAAATCTTTGATCACACTGATTGGTTTGCAGGTCTGAGGAGTGAGCCCAGGGCCTGTACACTAAGCTATATGACAGCACCAAGCTTTGGAGTAGTGTTTCAGTTGTCTGGAAATAATGGGAAAGAAGTGCCTTCCCAGCCTGTGTCCCCAGACACAAGCAAATCTCCATCTTCCCTCGTGTGGTGCACCTTTCTTCCCTGATTGCTCGTGGCTGAGCTGGAGTTCAGCCTGAAATGAGAGACAGTTCTCCTCACCCCAGAAAGCCCTGAGGGGTCGGTGGAGATTCATGGAATCATTCAACTTACTGAGGTCCTTCAAGTGAAGTAGCTCCTTTCACTCACTGACTCCCTCCTTCTGTCATGTCTGTTTTCTTTAACCTCTTCCATGGGTCTTAAAGAAACGACAGGACTTTGACACACATTTGTACTGCTTTTCTTTCTTTTTTTTTTTTTTTTTTTTTAATTTTTATTTAAGGAGAAAAGAAAAGAAAAAAAAAACAGTGAAGGGTACAAGTTATACAGATTTACAGAAGAAAAAAATGCGCAGTAGGAAATCACTAGTTAATAGATTACATATTGCCATCTTAGAAATAATTGTTCAAGTCACAGAATTAAAGTTTGTAGAGTGGACATTCCAGCAATGATACTGCAAACAGTTCTGTTCAATGATCCATTAGAACTCTGTGATATCATTTTCTGTCTTATACATTTAAATATACATGCAGTTATATAGTTTAGAGCATTTTCTTTTCCTCTCTTTTGTACAGTGACTATTACACATTTTGGGTTTCATTGCTCCCACTGTTCTTATTGCTTTTTTGGAAGAGAGTAAAACCAAATGTGACATAACAGAACAGAATCGGTCAAGTCAAAAGGGTGGATATAATAGATAATATAAAAACATAATACAAGGTGATCAACAATGGTTACCCTAATGCCTCCCGCTATTTCTAATAGAATTGCCTATATTATTAGTTGTAATACTATTGAACAAAACCGTAAAGGATAAAACCGACAAAACCAAAACATTGGAGATATTGTAGGTCTTCAAAAGTAGATAGAAGTCAACGAGAATGGGCGTTATAATGAATCTCATTATCTTCTCAGCTGATGCCTAAACTTTCGAGCCTGATACTATTCAGCAAAACAGAATAGAGGAACCTCAGTCAAAAACAAGATGGTGAGAGTAATACAGGGCTTCAAATCGAGAAAATAGAAAGTCAAAGTGGGTTACTATATTATATCCTGCTATATTTTTCCCTTTAATTAAATGGATAACAATAAAAAAGTATATAATGGAGTGGAGATTGAGAAAAAGAAAAAGAGGGCATAACAGCGAAACAGGGCAGATCAAAACATAACCTTTTAAGCAGAATAGTGTTTCACCACCAGATATTTCCGACTTAAAAATAGTTACCATATTGACTCCCTCCCTGAAGTCCTTGAGTACAACTTCATATACTGTAGCATTAAGTATATCAAAACAATGTAAAACCATTTAAGAGAATGACAGCATTATAGAGTATTTGGAATTGACTAACAGAAAATGAACAATGGTCTCTGTATAATCTCCTTGTCTTTAAAAGGTTTTTGCTTATACTAACGTACATAACAAAATCCAATAAGATACAACCTGGTTAGACCATTGGAGACAGAAGAACAAAAGCTAGATGAGACTTCAAAACAAGATGGTACTGAATCAGCATTACCTATTAAGATGTCATTTTCTCAAAAATAGCTGTTCCTATCATCCAATCTTCTCTGTCTCATTTCTGTTGAGCTCTTTTTCTGTCAGTAGCTGTCAGTTTGTCTTCTTCATTTTGTTCTCTGCTCCATTTGTTGTGGCCTCCCTGCCACTATTTCTGGGTTCTTTGTATTTTTCTTTTTTTAGAATATCCTGCAATACTTTCTGTAGAGTTGAATTGGTGGTTGCAAATTCCCCCAGTTCCTCTTTATCCTGGAAGCACCTCGTTTTTCCATCAATTTCCAGGGACAGTTGTGCAGGATATCTCAATCTTGGCTGGAAATTATTATCTTTCAAAGCTTGAATTATTTCCCCCCATGCTCTTCGTGATTTGATGGTTTGTGAAGAGAAATCTGCTGTAATTCTGATGGGTGTTCCTTTGTAAGTGATCCGTTTCTTGTCTCTTACAGCTTTTAATATTCTGTTCTTGTATTGAATTTCTGGGATTTTTATTATTATATGCCTGGGTGTTTCTCTGTTAGGGTTGTAGGTAGCTGGGGTCCTGTATGCCTCATACAGCTGAGTATCTTTCCCTTTTGCTAAATTAGGAAAATTCTCCTGGATTATTTCTGTGAGTAGCTTTTGTAATTCACTTGTTTGTGTCCCTACTTCTTCTTCTATGTTCTTAATCCTTAAGTGGTGGCTCCTCTTATCATCTTCTTGTCTTTGTATTATTGCTGTTTGTTTCTTTGTTATTTTTAAGAAGTTTTTCATTTCATTCTCCCATATTTCAAGTCTGCCCTCCAGTTCAGATAGTCTGTCCTTAGTTTCTTTTAAGCTGTTATGCCAGTCTTGTATAGACTTATTAATTTCTTGATAGTCCCTTTGAACCTGCTTCACATACTCAATGCTTTCTCTGTTTTCTCCATCAAGCAATTCTCCCCTCTTTTTCTGTTCTTCCATTCCACCATCTGTTTTTTCCTGGGTGGTGTTTAGCATTTCTCTAACTATTCTGCATACTTCTAGTTTCAGATCATTGATAACTTCATTCCTGAATTGGTCTATGAGGCTCTCAATATGGTGCTTAATGTATGCTGGTGCGGCGTCCATTATTGCCTGTTTCTCAGGATTGGGGGCCGAGGAGCTTTTTTTGTTGCTTCCCTTCCCCATATTTTTTGTTCCTTATAAAATGCAATCTTACAAAGGAGGCCCGGCTTCCCTGCCTGTCAGCCACAGCCTGATCAAATTGCGCTGGCTAGTTGTTCCCGCCCACCGCTGCGCACCAGGGAGTCGGAGGAGGCAGCCTACGCGGAAGTCAGTCGCTCCTCCGGGCCATCGTCCGGCTCTGGGATCTGGGTTAGGCTAGTCTAGCCTAGAGAGTCCGCCAGCAGCGTCACTCAGGCCAGGTACTTTTCTCCAATCCCGTCCGAGAGGGGAATGGCGCCCAGAGAGATCTCCGCCAGAGTCAAACTGTGGTGGGGGGTCAGATTCTCACTCACCTCGCCACCAGTCAGTTTTCGTGTACACCTCTGTCCGTCCTTTTTTTTTTTTTCGACTCCGTTCTCCCGTTCCCAGAGCTCGTCGCTCCCAGAGCTCGGCGAGTCTCTCCTTGCTGAGCCGCTGTGGAGATAGCCGGCCGCCGCACGGCGGGAAATCCAAACCGGTTTCCAATGGCGCGGAGTCGAGCCTCCACACCGAGATTTTTCTGTTCCTATTTTAGCGCCAGGACTGTATTCCAAGTTGGATTCTCTCAGCCCAGTTCGTTCCTGAGTCAGCAGAGCATATCTCTACTGATTCGTGTCTCCCTAGTCCGCATTATTTCTGGCCTCTGAGCCGAACCTTTCAGAGAGCCTCTGGTAGTTGCTGTTGTCTGTCCGCCATGTTCTCTGTGTGTCTCTCATTTGTACTGCTTTTGACCAATGAGAGGTGGCAAATCTCTTGCACAGGGCACAGCAGGTCAGAGCTGTGCTCCAGCCCTTTTCCAGTCTCGCGCAGGGACTGGCTCTGCCCTTACTCTCTCTGGGGTGGGAAATGACTACTGCAGAAGGCATGTGCTAGCCTAGCCTCAGGCTGCTAAACCATATCCCAAATGGGAATCTGAGGCTTCCGAGCATGCAAGGACATGAAATTGTGCAACTTGGGGCAGATGTCTCTGAGCCCTCGCTCTGACCTTCAAGCTGTCTCAGGCTGAGAATGCACCTGCAGGTGATGCCCATGGATAGCGGTGCTTCCCTGTGGAGTCCTGCATGGAGGAAAGGGCCGGGCCAGAGGGCTGCATTTGCAGAGAGAATGAAGCCAGCCTTTCGTGAACACTGTGCCCATTGATCTCAGCTCATTTCCTTCTCTGTGGCATTTATTCCAAAAATCAGGGAATGAAAGTGTTTTCCAAAAGAAGATGTTCTTCAGGCTGCAGGTGGCTCAGCTTTGGCTCTCACAGAGAGCAATGGCCAAACATTGTGCAAAAGTCAGTAGGAGGCTATGGTGGCTTTGCCTCGTGATAGGCCACCCAGCCTTCCCCGGGCCTGTCTTTATCTTGCCATTACTTCTTTTATTCAGCCCAAGCTTGCTCTGCAGAGACAGTCTCCCCAACCCCATTCTTCACTTTTACTCTCTTGAATTTTAACTAAAGGAATAAAGTACACTGGAAAAAATATTGCACCTTCCAATGAGATTTCTGCACAGGTTCTGCACAGATAGGTTAAGCACAGGTTCCTGTGCTGGGTCCTTCAGAGATGTCTAGGGAAGCTGATGGGGTTCCGTGGGTGTGCTGGGTACAGAGGGAGGGAGAGCCTGCTCCTTACTGTCACCTGAGCCAAGGCACGCACCCTCTGTGGAGGGTCAGGGCTGTCTGTACACTCACCATGCAGAACTCACGGTGGCCCAGAGCCTTTGCTGAATATCTGAGGAAATGGCACAGCTAGGACCCGGGTCCAGGCTCAGCCGGTTCCCTCTTCTATCCACAGAGCCAGTGTCGCGACCCTCCATCCAGGCCAGCAACACCACTGTCACAGAAGATGATTCTGTGTTCTTCACCTGCCTCTCAATGGACCCTGGTATCTCCATCCGGTGGATCTTCAATAACCAGGAACTGCATCTCTCAGAGGGGATGAATCTCTCCAAGAACAACAGCACCCTCACCATCGACCCTGTCAAGATTGAGGATGCTGGGGAGTATCAGTGTGAGGTCTCCAACCCTGTCAATTCCAACAGGAGCGACACCCTCTGGCTGGGAGTTTTCAGTGAGTTGGTTCTCCTCTCCTACCTCTTCTGGGGAGAATTTCTCACCCAGTAACGTGCAAGATGGATACAAATCACAGAGAATGTACCAATTGATATACAAATGTAGTCAAGGGACTTGCAAAGCAGTTAGAAGCTTTGGCTCTGACTCCACAGTCACCCCCAGTCTTCACAGGGAGTTTGTGGTGTCCACAGACACCAGCATCTGTGGACATTCTAATGCCTTATGTTCAAAAGTCCCGATTACATGGGACTGTGAGAATCTCCCACATAGTTTTGTTTGTTTGTTTGTTTGTGTGTTTGTTTGTGTAAGGTACTAGGGCTTAAGCATAGAGCCTTCCTTCCAAGCTACATCCCTACCCTATTTTATTTCCTTCTTTTTTTATTTTTATTTTTGTTTTGGTTCGGGGATCAAACTTATGATCGCACACTTGTCATGCTGTGCACTGGGCTGCTGAGGAGTGTCCCTGGCCTAGGTCTTATTCTCTCATTTTGAATCAGCCTCATTAGGTTTCGAATTTGCTCAAACTTGTGATTCTCTTGCCTCAGCTTCCCAGAATGCCAGGTCTACAGATAGGAGCCACGAAACTCAGTTCTTCCAAATACTTAGAATCATCTCTAGATTATTTCCAACATCCAATACAGTGTAAATAATTCCCGAGCCGCTTTATTTAAAGAATGATGAAAAGTGTCCACACATTTTTGTTATCTCTCCAAAAGTCTATTTCAAATGCTTTCTACATATATCCAAAAGAGGAATTTCTGGGTCATACGTGGATGACAACCTGTCACGCCCAGAAACTTCTAATCTTCGGGAGGTCCAACTTGCCTATTTTGTCTTACTGTTGTTGCCAATATTTTTATCAGATCCACGAAACACTGTCAAATCCAATATCATCAAAGTTTGCTCTCGAATTCCTGCTGAGAATTTTAAGTTTCACATTCAGCTCTTGGACCCATTTCGAATTAATTTTCATAAATAATGTTAGGAAAAGGTTCAACTTCTTTTATTTTCATGGATATTCGCTTTCTCAACGTCTTTATCAAAAAAGCATTCCTTTCTGTGTGGAGCAGTACTAGCATGGCCATCAAAATAGTTTGGCTCCTGGAGTGCAGGTGCACAGAAAGAATAACTTGCCATATTCTGTAGCAACGCAGGAGAAACATGTTTGCCCGAGCCTAATTCTATCTTTCAAAAGAAGCAGCAAAGACAAGCTTGAATGTTCCCAACACTAAGCATGATAAACACTGAGATGATGGAGCAGGCACTTGTCCCCATCTGGGTGTGACACGCTGTGGAAATATAGCAAATCCCACAATGAAACGCCATGCATATGTGTTCTCCTTACATGGAAATTCACAGTTTTAAATAGTTTAAACTCATTTGGCCATCCATGGGAGCACTCGTTTGTCAGCTTTTTCTTCTGTTTCATGGGTTATATACCTTTATACATCCTGGTAGCACACTGTTTTGATTACTGTTGCTTTTTACTGCAGCTTTAGAAATCAGATACTTTTGTTGCAAACTTTGTTCTTCATTTTCAGAGTCCTTTTAAATATGTGTTGTCTCATGAGATTACATATGAATTTTAGGATGGAGTTTTCAATTTCTGCACAAAGTGCCCCTGCCTTTTGTTTTATTGATGGTTTTTAAAACTGGGGCCTTCGCACTGAGCTCCATCCCCATCTACTGCTACCACCTGCAGCTTTTGTGTTCAGGGTCTCACTAATTTGCTAAATGGCCCGAGCTGGACTTAAATGTATGATCATCCTGCCTCAGTCTCCCACAGTGCTGGACTGACAGGATGTACCATGACAATCATCTGAAAATGGTGCTGAGCATTCAAAAGGACTCTCATTCAATCTATAGCTCGCTTTGGGTAATATTGTCAACTTAATAATATGAAGTCTTCCTTTACCTGAACATAGGTAATATATTGAGGCACAAACCTGTAATCCCCGCACTTCAAGAGGGGAGGCAAGAGGAGGCCAACCGGAACTACACAGCAAGACTCTGTTACAAAAATAAAGTGGAATAACTTCCATTGATTAATGTTTTAACATTTTCAGCAAAGTTTTGTAGTTTTGTTGGGTACAAATCTTCCGCTTCCTTGAGGAAACTGATTGGTTTGTAGGGACTGACAAGTGAACCCAGGGCCTTTAAGCTAAATGACTAAGCTATATGACAGCACCAAGCTCTGGAGTAGTGTTTCAGTCATCTGGAAATAATGGGAAAGTAGTCACTTCCCAGCCTGTGTCCGCAGACACACGCAAATCTCCATCTTCCCTGGCATTGTGCACCACCCCGACTCTGTCCTCCCCTTCTATCCTTAACTGCTCATGCTTGAGCTGGAGTTCAGCATGAAATGAGAGACAGTTCTCCTCACCCCAGAAAGCCCTGAGGGGTCGGTGGAGTTTCATGCATTCATTGAGCTCACTGAGGTCCTTCAGGTCAGGTGGCTCCTTTCACTCACTGACTCCCTCCTTCTGTCATGTCTGTTTTCTTTAACCTCTTCCATGGGTCATAACGAACCCATAGGACTTTGACACACATTTGTATTGCTTTTCTCCAATGAGAGGTGACAAATCTCTTGCACAGGGCACAGCAGGTCAGAGCTTTGCTCCAGCTCTTTTCCAGTCTCGCGCAGGGACTGGCTCTGCCCTTACTCTCTCTGGGGTGGGAAATGACCACTGCAGAAGGCATGTGCTAGCCTAGCCTCAAGCTGCTGAACCATGTCCCCAATGGGCATCTGAGGCTTCCGAGCATGCAAGGACATGAAAATGTGCAACTTGGGGCAGATGTCTCTGAGCCCTGGCTCTGACCTTCCAGCTGTCTGAGGCTGAGAATGCACCTGCAGGTGATGCCCATGGATAGCGGTGCTTCCCTGTGGAGTCTTGCATGGAGGAAAGGGCAGGGCCAGCAGGCTGCATTTGCAGAGAAAATGAAGCCAGCCTTTCGTGAACACTATGCCCATTGATCTCAGCTCATTTCCTTCTCTGTGGCATTTATTCCAAAAATCAGGGAATAAAAGTGTTTTCCAAAAGAAGATGTTCTTCAGGCTGCAGGTGGCTCAGCTTTGGCTCTCACAGAAAGCACTGGCCAAATATTGTGCAAAAGTCAGTAGGAGGCTATGGTGGCTTTGCCTCGTGATAGCCCACCCTGCCTTCCCCGGGCCGGTCTTTATCTTGCCATTTCTTCTTTTACTCATCCCAGGCTTGCTCTGCAGAGACAGTCTCCCCACCCCCATTCTTCACTTTTACTTGCTTGAATTTTAACTAAAGGAAAAAAGTCCACTGGAAAAAGTATTGGACCTTCCAATGAGATTTCTGCACAGGTTCTGCACAGATGGGCTGAGCACAGGTTCCTGTCCTGGGTCCTTCAGAGATGTCTAGGGAAGCTGATGGGGCTCCGTGGGTGTGCTGGGTACAGAGGGAGGGAGAGCCTGCTCCTTACTGTCACCTGAGCCAAGGCATGCACCCTCTGTGGACGGTCAGGACTGTCTGTACACTCACCATGCAGAACTCACGGTGGCCCAGAGCCTTTGCTGAATATCTGAGGAAAGGGCACAGCTAGGACCCGGGTCCAGGCTCAGCCGGTTCCCTCTTCTATCCACAGAGCCAGTGTCGCGACCCTCCGTCCAGGCCAGCAACACCCCTCTCACAGAAGATGATCCTGTGGTCCTCACCTGCCTCTCAAACAACACTGACATCTCCATCCGGTGGATCTTCAATAACCAGGATCTGCAGCTCTCAAAGGGGATGAATCTCTCCAAGAACAACAGCACCCTCACCATCGACCCTGTCAAGATTGAGGATGCTGGGGAGTATCAGTGTGAGGTCTCCAACCCTGTCAGTTCCAACAGGAGCAACACCCTCTGGCTGCCAGTTTTCAGTGAGTAGCATTTCTTCTCCTACCTCTTCTCAGGAGAATTTCTCACCCAGTAATGTGCAAGATAGATACAAGTCACAGGGAATGTACCAATTGAGATACAAATGTAGTCAAGAGACTTGTAAAGCAGTTAAGAGCATTGGCTCTGACTCCACAGTCACCCCCAGTTTTCACAGGGAGTTTGTTCCAGGAGCCCCACGGACAGCAGCATCTGTGGACACTCTAACGCCTTATTCAAAAGTCACGTTTACATGGGACTGTGAGAATCTCCCACATAGTTTTGTTTGTTTGTTTCCTTGTGTAAGGTACTAGGGCTTAAGCCTAGAGCCTTCCTTCCGAGCTACATCCCTACCCTATTTTATTTCCTTCTTTTTTTATTTTTATTTTTGGTTTGGTTTGGGTACCGAACTTATGATCGCACACTTGTCACGCTGTCACTGGGCTGCTGAGGTGTGTTCCTGGCCTAGGTCGTATTCTCTCATTTTGAGACAGTCTTATTAGGGTACTAAGTTGCCAAGACTATACTCATACTTGTGATTCTCCTGCCTCAGCTTCCCAGTGTGCCCGGTCTCCCGATAGGACCCAACACAATCCATTCTTCCAAATACTTAAAATCATCTCTAGGTTATTTCCAACACCCAATGCAGGGTAAATAATTCCCGAGCCGCTTTATTTAAAGAATGATTAAAAGTGTCCACACATTTTTGTTATCTCTCCAAAAGTCTATTTCAAATGCTTTCTACATATATCCAAAAGAGGAATTTCTGGGTCATACGTGGATGACAACCTGTCACGCCCAGAAACTTCTAATCTTCGGGAGGTCCAACTTGCCTATTTTGTCTTACTGTTGTTGCCTATGTTTTTATCGGATCCAAGAAACACTGTCAAATCCAATATCATCAAAGTTTGCTCTCGATTTCCTGCTGAGAATTTTCCAGGTTTAAGTTTCACATTCAGCTATTTGACCCATTTCGAATTAATTTGCATATACAATGTTAGGAAAAGGTTCAACTTCTTTTGTTTGCATATTCACTTTCAAAACGTCTTTATCAAAAAAGCATTCCTTTCTGCGTGGAGCAGTACTAGTGTGGCCATCAAAATAGTTTGGCTCCTGGAGTGCAGGTGCACAGAAAGAATAACTTGCCGTATTCTGTAGCACAGCAGGAGAAACATGTTTGCCCGTGCCTAATTCTATCTTTCAAAAGAAGCAGCAAAGACAAGCTTGAATGTTTTTGACACGAAGCATGATAAACACTGAGATGATGGAGCAGGCACGTGTCCCCATCTGGGTGTGACACACTGTGGAAATATAGCAGATCCTACATTGAAATCCCATGTATATGTGTTCTCCTTACATGGCTCTGACCTTCCAGCTGTCTGAGGCTGAGAATGCACCTGCAGGTGATGCCCATGGATAGCGGTGCTTCCCTGTGGAGTCTTGCATGGAGGAAAGGGCAGGGCCTGCAGGCTGCATTTGCAGAGAGAATGAAGCCAGCCTTTCGTGAACACTGTGCCCATTGATCTCAGCTCATTTCCTTCTCTGTGGCATTTATTCCAAAAATCAGCGAATAAAAGTGTTTTCCAAAAGAAGATGTTCTTCAGGCTGCAGGTGGCTCAGCTTTGGCTCTCACAGAGAGCAATGGCCAAACACTGTGCAAAAGTCAGTAGGAGGCTATGGTGGCTTTGCCTCGTGATAGCCCACCCTGCCTTCCCCGGGCCGGTCTTTATCTTGAAATTTCTTCTTTTACTCATCCCAGGCTTGCTCTGCAGAGACAGTCTCCCCACCCCCATTGTTCACTTTTACTCTCTTGAATTTTAACTAAATGAATATAGTCCACTGGAAAAAGTATTGGACCTTCCGAAGAGATTTCTGCACAGGTTCTGCACAGATAGGCTGAGCACAAGTTCCTGTCCTGGGTCCCTCAGAGATTTCCAGGGAAGCTGATGGGGTTCCGTGGGTGTGCTGGGTACAGAGGGAGGGAGAGCCTGCTCCTTACTGTCACCTGAGCCAAGGCATGCACCCTCTGTGGAGGGTCAGGGCTGTCCGTACACTCACCATGCAGAACTCACGGTGGCCCAGAGCCTTGCTGAATATCTGAGGAAGGGGCACAGCTAGGACCCACATCCAGGCTCAACTGGTTCCCTCTTCTCTTCTTTCGTTTTGTCATTTCCCTATATTTCCTGGTTTGAGTGATGTTCCAAAGCTTCCCTATGTGCTGGAAATTACCTAGTGCCCTTTCAGCTCTGGGAGCAGAAAACAGGCAACTGCTAGCCACTTGGGGGGTCATTGGACATGGCCCATTGGCCCCCAATGACTCCCATGCATCCTCTGGTTATTTGGGATGCTGGGAAGGGTCTTATCTGCCGGGAGCTATGGTCCAAAGATTCCCCCATGCACTGAGAATCAACTTGCATGCCTTCAGCTCCCAGGGCCCACCTCCCATATACATTAAATTCTCACTAAATTATTTCCAATATCCAATGCTATGTAAATTATTGCTATGCTGCATTCTTTTTTTTATTTCAAGAATTTTATTTTTCCAAAGTAGAAAAGTTGTTACAAAATTAGAAATTCTTTGAATCTTCAAAGAAATAGGCACACTCTGGAAAGCCAAGTACTCAAAAGCCTTGTGGCTCAGAAACACCACTGATTTTCTAGAGGCCTTGTACTCCTACTCCACCCACAGCTCAGAAAACTTCTGTTACAGGACATAGAACCAAACCAAAAATCAAGTTGACAACAAACTGCAGCCTCAAGAGCTTGAGACCCAAGGCAAACCAGGTGACTGGCAGTGAGATCACGAGAGGCACTTGAGGTCTATTCATGACCAAATACTCAACTTGGTTCTCACATGAAAAGGCCTGTGCTCTTCTCAGACAAACTGCAGGTGTCCTCCTGTCCTCCGAGTGCTCAGGTCCTTATGTACCTGCCTGAGTGTTGCACTCCTGTCTGGTCCTTGAAGGACTCAAGTTGCCTGAGAGGTGAGAGCACTCCACTCTAGCAGAAAATGCTTTTGTTCCAGTCTCACCCCAGAATTGGCTCTGCCCTTACTCTCTGGGGTTGGAAATGACACATGGAAAAGGCATGTGGCTGACCTGTCTGCAAACTGCTAAATCATGACCCCAATGGGCATCTGAGTCACCCTAGTGAGCAAGGAACTGCATAAGTACACCTCGGGGCAGATGCCTTTGAACTGGATCCTGGCTCTGAAGTCCCAGCTGTCTGTGGCTGAGGACACAAGTGCAAGTGATGCCCTGTGGAAAGCAGTGCTTCCTTGCAGAGTCCTGCATGGAGGGAAGGGCAGGGCTAAAGGGCTACATTTGCAGAGAGAATGATACCAGCATTTTCTGAACACTGTGACCATTTCTCTATAATGATTTCCTTCACTGTGGTATTTAATCCACAAATCAGGGAATAAAAGTACTTTTCATACCAAGATGTTTTTCAAGATAAAGGTATTCAGCTTTTACTGTCAGAAAGCACTGGCCAAACATTGTGCACAAGTCAGTGGGAGGCTATGGTGGCTTTCCTTCATGGTAGCCCACCGTGCCTTCTGCAGGCTGGTCTTTATTTTGCTTTTTCTTGATTTACTCAGTCCATGCATCCTCTGCAGAGACAGTCCCCTCCCACCCTTCATTTTGACTTTCTCCAATTAAAAGAAAAAGATCAATGTGAAAAAATATTTGACCTTCCATTGAGATTTCTGCACAGGTGGGCAGAGCACAAATTCCTAACATGGATCCTTCAGAGAGATCTAGGGAAGTTGATGGGCCTCTGTGGATGTGCTGGGTTCAGAGGGAGGGAGAGCCTGCTCCATAGCATCACCTGAGCCAAGGCATGCAACCTCTGTGCAGGGTCAGGGCTGTTCTCAGAGTCACCACACAGAGCTCACGGTGGCCCAGAGCCTTTGCTGAATATCTGAGGAAAGGGTACAGCTAGGACCCAGGTCCAGGCTCAGATGGTTTCCTCCTCTATCCACAGCACCTGTGAGGCAACCCTCGATCCATGCCAGCAACAACATTGTCACAGAAGATGATTCTGTGCTCCTCACCTGCCTCTCAAATGACACTGGCATCTCCATTCAGTGGTTCTTCAATAAGCAGGACCTGCAGCTCTCAGAGACAATGAAGCTGACGGAGAACAACAGCACCCTCACCATTGATCCTGTTAAGATTGAGGATGCCGGGAAGTATCACTGTGAGGTCTCCAACCCGGTCAGTTCCAACAGGAGCGACCCTCTCCAGCTGAACGTTTTCCGTGAGTGACTTTTTCTCTGCTACCTCTTCTGGGGAGAATTTCTCACCCAATAATGTGCAAGATGGATAAAAGTCACAGGGAATGTATCAGTTGAGACACAAACGTAGTAAAGAGACTTGCAAATTGGTTCAGAGCTTTGGCTCTGACTCCAGTCATCCCCAGTCTTCACAGGGAGTTTGTTCCAGGAGCCCCACAGACACCAGCATCTGTGGACACTCTAATGCCCTATGTTCAAAAGTCACATTTACATGTGACTGTGAGAATTCTCCCATATATTTTTGATTTTTGTTTGTTTGTTTGTTTGTTTGTAGGACTAGGAGTTAAACCAAGAACCTTCATTCTGAGCTACCTCCCTGCCATTTTTTATTTCTCTCTTTTTTTGTTGTTGTTTGTTTGTTTGTTCATTTTTTTTTTGTACTGGGGAACAAACTCACAATCTCATGCCTGCCAGGTAGGCATTGTGCTTCTGAGAAGTACCCCCAGCCTATTTATTTTTCTTTTTCATGTTCATTATTATTTTGAGGCAGTCTTACTAGGTTACTGAGTTACCAAGACTGTGCTCAAACTTGTGATTCTCCAGCCTCAGCCCCACAGAGTGCCATGTCTGCAAACATGAGCCACCACACTCAGTTCTCCCATATACTTTATTTTCTTAATTTTATTTTAAAGAGGGTAAAACTAAACACAACAAAACAGAACCAAACTGATCAGAAGAAAACAATGTAAATGACATAGATTCCAAAGCAAGACAACAGGAGATCATCACTAGCTACCCTAATGTCTCTTGTTTTATTCTAAATAGTTGTCCCTATCTCACACACAATGAATTCATACAAAACAAAGTAGTATTAAACTGATCAGAACAGAGTGAGGAAGGCATTATATAAGCCTTCAAAACCAGATAATAGGGAAATCAACAATGGCTGTCACCATATGTCTCATTCTCTTTAAAATAGCTGTCTATACCTTCATGTATGTTGAAATTAAACAATACAAAACAGACGAAAACCACTCTGAAGAAAGGATAGTGGCATTACTGGATTTCACAGCATGATGATATGGAATCAGCAATGGTGTCTCTTTTTCTTCAAAGTGACTGTTCATTTCTTCATGCATTATATAATCATTTCTCGTAAACTTCTTAGGAGAAGTTCTACATGTATAAGTCTCTACATGTATCCCCATCTTTTCTGTATCAGAGGGGAAAACAAAAATAAACAAAACATAAAAATTTAGTAGAAAAACACGAAACAAAAATGACAAATCAGTAACAGTAGCAAAGAGCCAAAAACACTGACCATATCAGCCTTCAAAACACGGTGGTAGGAGCATAACTAGGGTTGTTACTTTACATGATCTTCAAGAGTTTCTCAGATTACCACACACTAACATGCATAAGTGTTCCAACCCTATGAAGGTTACCTGTTTTGTTCTAAGAACTTACAGAATTTGTAGTACAGTCATCTTAGCTATCCTAAGTGTGTTTATATACGTTTAGATATTTTTTCTTTTCTCTTTCATTTACATTTTTCTTCTTTTCTCTGAGATATTATTGTTCCCCTTTGAGCATATTTGTACCCTTTCACTGTATTTACTGAGGTATTTGTAATATTATGTAATCTTACCATTTCTTACACTATATGGTATTTACAAATGTGAGTTTGATTTATTTCACTTACAAGTATGTCCTCAAATCATATCAATTTATTTATAAATATCTCAGTGGGGTCATTCTTTATAGCTGACTAGTACTCCATTGTAGAAAAGTATCACATCTTTTTTATTCATTCCTCGGTTGATGGACATTTAGGTTGTTTCCAAGAACTGGCTATTACAGTTTGTGCTGCTATAAACATGGGTGCACATATATCACCATGGTGTGATGTACTCAGTTCTTCTGGGAATATGCACAGATGTGGAATAACTGTGTTCAATGGGACCTCCAATCCCAGCTTTTTGAGGAACCTCCATACTGACCTCCACAGTGATTGTACCAGCCTGCACTCCCATGAAGACTGCAGGAGAGTTCCTTTTTCCCCACAGCCTCTCCAGCACTTGTTGCTGGTAGTTTTCTTGATGCTGGCCATTCTTTCTGGAGTGAGATGGAATCCCAGTCTGATTTTAATTTTGCAATTCTGTAATGACCAACGATGCTGAACATTTTTTCATGTATTTATTTGCCATTTGTATTTCTTTATCTGAGAACTGTGTGTTCATCTCGGATGCCCATTTTTGGATTGGGTCTTTGAATTTTGGGGTCTGATTTTTTTCAACTCTTTATGTGTTCTAGACAGAAGTCCTTTGTCTGAGGGACACTTGACTAAGATTTTTTTTCCCAATTTGTGGGTTTCCTTTTCGCTATGCTAGAGATTTCTCTCAACATGAAAAACTCTTCAACAAGATGTGATCCCAATTATTGATTCTGTGAAGTATTTCCTGTGCAGTTTGATTCTTGTTCATGAATTCCCTACCTACCCCTATGTCTTCAAGATTGCTACCTACTTTGACTTCCAACCGATTCAGTGTGTCTGTTTTAATATTTAGATATTTGATCCATTTAGACTTTAGTTTAGTACATGGTGATAGACATGGGTCTAGTTTTAGTTTTTGGCATATGGTGAGCCAATTTATCCACTACCATTTATTAAAGAGTGTATCTGTTTTCCAGGGGAGGTGTTTGACCCCTTTATCAAAGATAAGGTGGCTGAATGTGTTTGTAGTTGGAGTTGTGTCTTCTAAACTGTGCCGTTGATCTTCAGATCTGCTTTGATTTCAGTACTGTGCTGATTTTATTACAGTAGCTTTGTAATATAACTTCAAGTCAGGGATTATGATGCCTCTTGCCTTGCCTTTGTTGCTTAGAATTGCCTTTGCCATTCAAAGTCTCTTCTGGTTCCAGATGAGATTTAGGTGTGATGTCTCTGTGAGGTATGCTAGTGGCGTTTTGACTGGCATTGCACTAAATCTGTATAACAGTTTTGGGGGGAATGGTCATTTTCAGAATATTTGTTCTTCTTATTCATGATCAAGGGATGTCTTTCCATTTTCTGAGGTCCTCTCAATTCCTTTTTCAGGGAATTACAATTTTCCCCGAACAGATCTTTTGCTTCTTTTGTTAGATTGATTCCTAAATATTTCAGTTTTGGATGCCATTGTGAAGGGTGTAGCTTCTCTCATTTTTCTCTCAGTGATTTTGTTGTTAATATATAGGAATGCCATTGATTTTTGAGTCTTGACTTTGTATCCAGCCACTTTTCTGAATCTATTTATTATACCTAGGAGTCTTTCAGTGGAGTTTTGGGGGTCTGCTATGTAGAATACCATTTCATCTATAAATAATGATAACTTAACTTCTTTTCCTATCTTTACTCCTTATCTCTCTCTCTCTCTCTCTCTCTCTCTCTCTCTTTCTCTCTCTCTCTCTCTCTCTTTCTCTCTCTGTCTCTGTCTCTCTCTCATCTAATTGCTCTGGCTAGTATTTCCAGCAATATATTTAGTAGGAGTAATGATAATGGACATCCTTGTCTTGTGGCTGATTTTAGGGTAAAGGCTTTCAGTTTTTGGCCATATAATGTGACGCTGGCTGTTGGTTTGTCATAGATGGATTTTATTAGAGTGAGGTAAAAACCATCTATTCCAATTTTCTGTAAGTACAAATGAGTGTTGGACCTTATCAAAAGCTTGTTCTGCTTCTGTAGAAATGATCATGTGATTCTTATTTTTGGCTCTATTGATATGGTGAATTACCTTTATACATTCGCGTATGTTGAACCATCTCTGCATTCCTGTGATGAACTCCACTTTGTCATGTTGTATAATCTTCTCAATGATTTGTGGCATTCTGTTTGCCAATATTTTATTGAGAATATTTGCATCTATGTTTATGAGGGAGACTGGCCTGTGATTCTTTTTTTGGTTGGGTCTTTCTCAGGTTTTGGTACTCAAGTAATATTGGGCTTCCAGGAATGAGGTAGGGAGAATTGCTTCCCTTTCAATTTCATTGAAGAGTTTGAGGAGTATCGGCAATAAGTCTTGTTTGAATTTCTTGTAGAATACCACAGTGAATCCAGCTGCACCTGGGCTTTTCTTTGTTGGTAAGGATTTAATTACATTTTCAATCTCACTAATTGAAATTGGGTTCTTCAGCAGTTTTACATCTTCTTGATCCAGGTTTCATAACTCATGTTTCTAGAAATCTGTCCATTTCTTCAGAGTTATTGAGCCTATGAGAGTAGAGGTTTTGAAATAGGTGTTGATGATCTTCTGTATTTCCACAGAGTCTGTAGTCATTTCACCTTTTTCATCCCTTATTGCATGAATTTGAATGTTTTCTTTCCTTTTTTTAATAAGGTTGGCTAGGGACTTATCAATTTTTTTTTTCTTTCAAAGAACCAACTCTTGGATTCACTGATTCTTTGTATTGTTTCTTAATTTCTATTGCATTGACTTCTGCTCTAATCTTTATAATTTCCTCCCTTTTTTGGCTTTGGGCTTCACTTGCTCTTCTTTTTCTAGATGTTTGAGGTGTAGCATCAGGTGGTGTTTTTTTTTTGTGTGTTCATTCTATTGTCCTGATGTGGGAACTCACCGCAATAATTTTTCCTGAGGACTGCTTTCATTGCATCCCACATGTTCCACTAGGTTGTATTTTTATTTTCATTTGTTTATACATCTTGTTTAATTTTTTCTTCAATTTCATCCCTGACCCACTGATTACTCAGGGGTGTATTATTCAATTACCATTTGTTTGAGTGGGTTTTGCAGTTTCTTTTGTCATTAATTTCTAGTTTCATGGCACTACAATCTGATAACATGCATGGGATAATTTCACTTCTTTTCCATTTACTCAAGCACATACTATGGGCTAGTATATGGTCCGTTTTAGAGAATGTCCCATGTGTTGCTGAGAAGAATGTATTTTCTGATGTTGTTGGGTGGAACACTCTGTATATGTCCACCAAGTCCATTTGTTCACAGGTGTGATTCAGTTCTGTTTTTTCTTTGCTGATATTCTGTCTGTTAGATCTGTCCATTTTTGTCAATGGAGTGTTAAGGTCTTCTGTTATAACTGTATTATTGCTTATTTGATTTTTCATTTCTGTTAATTTTTGTTTTGTATAGCTGGCTGCTCCTGAATTTGGTGCATATATATTTAAGATTGTTATCTCTTCCTCTTGCAGTTTTCCTCTAACTAGTATGTAGTGACCTTCTTTATCTCTTTGGGTCATTCTTTGTTTGAACTTCACATTGTCTGCAAACAAAATAGCTATCTCTGCTTTTGTGGGGGGATCTTGTTGCATGGAGTATTGTTTTCTAATCTTTGACTTTCAGCCTATGACTTTCTTTTTGGGTTACATGTCTTTCTTGTAGACAGTATATGGTTGGATGTTGTTTTTTGATCCATTCTGCCAGTCTGTTTCTTTTGTTGGTGATTTGAGGCCTTTTGCATTGATGGTTATAACGAATATATATTGGTTCATTTTTTTCATGTTATCTTTCTTCTGTTGATTCCTTTCCTTTTGCTTCTGTTTAATGGTCTGCCTTGTTTAGTGACATTTTCCTGTCTATCTACTATATCTTTTAGTATTCTTTGCAGGGTGGGTTTGGTGGTCATGAAGTTCTTCAGCTGTTCTTTGTCACGGTAGTATCTTTTTTCTCCATCCATTTTGAAGGGAAGTTTTTCAGAGTATATCAGTCTAGGTTGGAAATCATTTTTCTTTAGGAAAATGCTCTTCTTGACTTCATTGTTTGTGTTGAGTAGTCTGCTGTGATTCTGATAGGCTTTCCTTTATAGGTGATCTGTCTCTTCTCTCTAACAGCTGTTAATATTCTGTTGTTATGTTGGATTCAGAGATGTTGATTATTGTATCTCTGGACTAGTTTTATTTTTATTATGGGTATTTGGAGTTCTATATGCTTCACTGATCTGTATGTCAGTTTCCATTCTCATGTTTGGGAAATTTGGAGCTATTACTTCTGTAAATAGCCTCTTGATATCATTTGTGTTGTCACCTTTTTCGTTTGTCTCTATCAATCTTATGTTGTTTTTCTTTGCATCATCTTGCAGCTGTTGAATTCTTATGTTATTTTTTAAAGATCTTACCTTTCCTGTTCACTAGCTGTAATCTTATCTTTGAGATCTGAAATTATATATTCACTTTCATTTAGGCACTTTTGCCAATATCCAATGGAATTTTGATTTCCTGTATGGCTTTTTGGATCTGCTTCATGCATTCTGTTTGTTTCCTCTATGGTTCTTTCAGGGTTTGCATCTTTTTGTATTGTTCCTCTAATTTTTTAACTATGTCTTCTTTACATGTGTTCAGCATTTCTTTCATACATTTATCATTTCTGCTTTTACCTGGGAGATTGTTTCTGATCTGAGTTCTTTTATACCTTCCCAAAGTTTTTTCTTTACTTTAGTTGTTATCATTTCAGAAATTTCAGTTGTTTCGCTTACATTTTCTTCTATGTCCATGTCTCCTAGGCTTGCTTGGGATAGGCTGGATGCATTCTACTCTTTCATTTTGTCATTTCCCTATATTTCCTGGTTCTGCGTGGTGTTTCAAAGCCTTCTCATGTGCTGAGAATTGCTTAGTGCTCTTTCTGCTCTGGAGTGGAAAACAGGCAATTTTTCCAGGCTAAACATAATCCACTGTGTACACAGACCACATTGTGTCTATTCATTCATTCACTAATGGACAATTAGTTTCAATATATTGGCATTATAAAATTAGTGCATTTAATACAGTTTCATTATCTCTCCAAAAGTTTGTTTCAAATGTTTTCTACATATATCAAAAAGATGAATTTCTGGGTCATAGGTGGATAACATCCTTTCACGCACAGAAACTTCTAATCTTCGTGAGGTCCAACTTGCCTATGTTTTCTTAATGCTTTTGCCTATGTTTTTGTCAGATCTTAGAAAACATTGTCGAATCCAATATCATGAAAGTTTCTATTTATTTCCTGCTGAGAATTTTATAAGTTTAGCTTTTACATTCAGGTATTTAGCCCCCTTAGAATTAATTCACAAGTATAATGTTAGATAAAGCTCAGCTTCTTTTATTTGCATTGATATTCACTTTCTCAACATCTTTATCAAAAAAATATTCCTTTATGCATGGAACAATACTAGCATCCCCATCAAAAATAGTTTGGCTCCAGGAGTGCAGTGGGATAGAAAGACTAACTTGTGGTATTCCACAGCACAGCAGGAGAAATATGTTTGACCGTGCTTCATTCTATGTTTCAAAATAAGTAGCAAAGACAACTTTTAATGTTCTCAACACAAAGTATGATAAATATTGAGATCATGGAGCTGGCATGTGCCCTGATCTGGTTGTAGTTGTAGTTGTGTCTTCTAATCTGTGCCATTGATTACATGCTGTATAAATATAACAAATGCCACGCTGTATCCCATGTATATGTGTTCTTCTTACATGGCAATTAACATTTCTAAACAGTTTAAAGTCATTTGGCAATCCATGGGAGCCTCATTTGTCAGCTTTTTATTCTGTTTCACTGATTGTATATCTTTACTCATGCAGGTAGCACACTGTTTTGATTACTATAGCTTTTTACTAAATTTTGAAATCAGGCAGTGTGAGTCCAAATTTGTTCATCACAGGCAGGTCCTGTAGCATAGTGAGATGCATCAGCCATGGTCATTTTAGTTAGTCTCTGTCTGGTATGGAAGACTTTAATAAAACCCTAGTGGTGATTTTGAGGTCAAAAGAAAAGACAGAGAGAATTTACATGCCTAGTTGGGCTCCTGCCTACTTTGCCTCATTCCGAGAAGCAATTTGGAGTATGAAATTCTAACATACTAATGTGATTTGTCACTTCTGGGAAGTTACAATCATCCCTCCTTTTACACTAGGGATGCCTCAGACTTTCCCTCTAACTAGGTCTGTCCTCCCAAGAGACTTAACATGGCTCCTCATCAGGGAACTGTCTCCAGTTAGTGGCTCAGAGGTGAAAGAACTCCACTCTGGTGGAAATTGCCTTTGCCAAGCTCAAAGGCATCACACAAGGCAATCTTCTTTCTGTTTTCTACACAGCATTCTTGCCCAAACCTTATATCACAGTCAACAACTCCAGCCCTGTGGAGGGTGAGGAAGCTGTAGCACTGACATGTGAACCCGAGACTCAGAACACAACCTACCTGTGGTGGATCAATGGTCAGAGCCTTCAAGATGGTGATAGGCTGAAACTGTCTGAGGGCAACAGGACACTCACTTTATTGAAAGTCACAAGAAAAGACACAGGACCCTATGAGTGTGAGACTCGGAATCCAGCGACTTTCAACCAAAGTGACCCAGCCTTCCTGAATATTTCCTGTGAGTAACTTGTATTCTACTGTAGCCCAGCTAACAACCCAGGAACTGGAGCAGGAGGCAGAGGCCAGCCCACTCAGTCTGTCTCTCAAGTTCACAAAACAGGCCTCACTCTGGGACACTTGGGATGGCCATACCATACTCACTCTGCCATCCAGGCTGGCGTGACCTTCAACCCAGAACAGGAGGAGATGGTCTCCTCCTGTCTATAGGGATTCACTTACCTAAGCACCTGTTACCTAACAACAGGAGGATGACTCAGGCTCTGCCAGCACAGAGGAGTATAACCTGGACTTTTTTCTGTGTATGTAATACTGGGGATGGAACTGGTGAGGGCCTGATACACCCTAAGCAGATGCTGAGCCTTGGAGCTACACTCACTGGTCTAGTTGGGATGTTTTCATACCAAGGTTGTGATGTGGCTCAGAGGAATACTCAGCCTTCTACAAGCCAGAAGCTTCCCCTTCCCTCTGAAAATGTCTCATGTGGCTTTATTTTGTTCACTCCAGATGGCCCGGATGACCCCGTCATATCACCCCAAGAGTCATATTTCCGTGCAGGGACATTCCTCAGACTCTCCTGTGATGCAGACTCTAACCCACCTGCACAATATTCTTGGCTTGTCAATGGGAGCTTCCTGCAACCCACACAGGAGCTTTTTATCCCTAACATCTCTGAAAATGATACTGGATCTTATACCTGCCTCGTCTCTAACCTTGCCTCTGGCCTCAATAAGAGTTCAGTCAAGGATATTACAGTCACTGGTAAGTGGACCCTGGACAGATAACAACAAGCTCTGGAGTAGTGCTTTGGTTGTATAGAAACAGGGGGAAAGAAGTCACCAGGCAGTGTCCACAGACACAAGCAAATCTCCATCTTCTGTGACATTGTGCACTATCCCCAAGGCTGTCCTCATTTTGGACCCCTGATTGCTCATGGCTGACCTGGAGTTCAGCCTGAAATGAGAGACAGTACTCCTCATCCCTGAACAATCTATGGGTTTGGTGGAGATACATGGACATTGAGGTCATTCAAGTCAAGTAGCTTCTTTCACTGACTGACTCCCTCCTTCGATCAAGTCTGTTTTCTTTAGCCCCTTCCATCAGTTATAAGGAGCCCACAGAGCGCTGATACACATTTGCACTACTTTTATCCAATTAGAGGTAGCAAAACCTCTTGGACAGGGCACAGCAGCTCAGAGTTCTGCTCCAGCTCTGTTCCAGTCTCATGCAGGGACTGGCTCTGCCCTTACTCTCTCTATGGTGGGAAATGACACGTGGAAAAGGCATGTTGTTGGCCTATCCTCAAGCTGCTAAATCATGTCGCCAGTGGGCATCTGAGGCTTCCCAGCAGGTAGCAAAAGGAAAAGTGCACCTCGGGGCAGATGTTGCTGAATCCCGGCTCTGAAGTCCCAGCTGTCTGAGGCTGAGAATGCACCTGCAGGTGATGCACCGTGCAGAGCAGTGCCTCCCTGTGCAGTCCTGCATGGAGGGCTTGGGCAGGACCGAAGGGTTACATTTGCGGAGAGAATGAAGCCAGCCTTTCATGAACACAGTGACCATTTATCTCTGCTGATTTCCTTCACTGTGATATTTAATTCAAAAGTCAGTCCTTTTCAAATTGAGATGTTCAGGATACAGGTGGCTCAGCTTTTACTGTCACAGAAGACACTGACCAAACATCGTGCAAAAGTCAATAGTAGTCTGTGGTAGCTTTCCCTCATGATAGCCCAGCCTGCCTTCCCCAGGCCGGTCTTTATCTTGCCGTTTCTTCTTTTACTCAGCCCAAGCTTGCTCTGCAGAGTCAGTGTCCCCATACCCATTCTTCACTTTTCCATTCTCCAATATTAACTAAAGAAAAAAAAGGTCAACAGGAAAAAATACTCGACCTTCCAATGAGGTTTCTGCACAGGCTCTGCACAGATAGGCTGAGCACAGGCTCCTGTTCTGGATCCTTCAGAGAGGTCTAGGGAAGCTTATGGGCCTCCAAAGCTGCACTGGTTGCAAGGGAGGAATAGCCTGCTCCTTACTGTCACCTGAGCCAAGGCATGTAACCTCCTTGCAGGGTCAGGGCTGTCCACAGAGCTCACGGTGGCCCAGAGCCTTAGCTGAATATCTGAGGAAGGGGCACAGTAGAGTCCAGGCCCAGGCTCAGACAGTTTCCCTCTCTGTCCACAGCACCTGTGAGGCAACCCTCCATCCACATCAGCAAAACCATTGTCACAGAACATGATTCTGTGGTCCTCACCTGCCTCTCAAACGACACTGGCACCTCCATCCAGTGGATCTTCAAAAACCAGGAACTGAAGCTCTCAGAGAGGAAGAAGCTGTCCGAGAAGAACAGCACCCTCACCATCAACCCTGTCAAGATTGAGGATGCTGGGGAGTATCAGTGTGAGGTCTCCAACCCTGTCAGTTCCAACAGGAGCCACTTACTCAGGCTGAATGTTTCTGGTGAGTGACTTCTCTCCTGCCTCTTCTGGGGAGAATTTCTCTCCAGTAATTTGCAAGATGGATACAAGTCACAGGGAATGAATCAGTTGAGACACAAATTTAGTAAAGAGACTTGCAAAGCGATTAAGAGCTTTGGGTCTGACTCCACAGTCACCGAGGGAGTTTGTTCCAGGAGCCTGACAGACACCAGCATCTCTAACGCCTTATGCAAAAATGTATAGCATTTACATGTGACTGTGAGAATTCTCCTATAAATTTTTGTTTCTTTGTTTGTTTGAGTATGGTGCTAGGGTTTAAGCTTAGAGCCTTCCTACTGAGCTACAGCCTTACACTATTTTATCTTTCTTTTTTATTTTTGTTTTTGGTTTGGTTCAGGGATCAAACTTATGATCTCATGCTTCTCATGCTGTGCTGCTGAGGTGTGTCCCTGGCTTAGGTCTTTTTCTCTCATTTTGAGACACTCATATTAGGTTACGAAATTACCAAGACTGTGCTCAGACATTTGATTCTCCTGCCTCAGCTTCCCAGATTGCCAGGTCTACAGATATCAGCCACCACATTCAGTTCTTCCAAATACTTAAAATCATCTCTAGATTATTTCCAATACCCAATACAATGTAAATAATTTCTGGACACTTTATTTAAAGAATAATGATAAGAAAAATGTCTTTATATTTTCCATATGGATCTATGTTTTTCTGAGTTTCAAACCTTAGTTGATTAAATCCATGGATTCCAGGAAGTCAACCATACTGAGTTTCTTATCCTGAGTCCGGCATTTATTGTGCCACCTTGCACAAAACTATTTTTTTTAGTCCGTGTTTCTGTTAACTTTGCTTTGCTATGTGGTAAAATATACACAAGACTTTTATTTTAACCCTTGGAAATGCACAGTTCCTTGACATTCAGTATATTCACATTGTTATGTAACATTGCCACCATCCATTTCTGGAATTTTTCATCTTACCACACTAACATTTTATATTCAGTATTATATAATAACTTCCCATTCCAACACTGCCCCAGCCTCTGGTAAACCCCTTCTTTCTGTCTGTGTGTATTTGTCTTCTGAATCTCTCATAAAAATGGGATTACACAATGTTTGTTCTTTTGTGTCTGGTTTAATTCACTTTAGCATAATGTCTTTAAGGTGTACCCATTTTGTAATATGTACCAGAATTTTGTTCCATTATTTTTATTTCTTTAAGACAGTGATGGTCTATTGTGTGGATATACTGCTTTATGGGGTGTACCTCATATGGCTTATTCATTCATCCATCAATGGACTTTACGGTATAATTCTGCTATAAAATAAATATGCAAATATCTGTTCAAATCCTTGGCTTCATTTCTTTTAGGTGTATCCCAGCTGTAGAATTGAAAAATGAAAAACAATATTTTTTGAGGAAGTACTATACTGAGTTCCACAGTGACTGCCCCATTTCACATTCCCACCTACCCACCTGTCCACAAGTCATGACTTCTCTACATCCTCAAAGACTCAAGTTTTGATGAGAGATATCCTATTGGGTGTAGGTGGTTTTGATTTGAACTTCCCTAATAACTAATGATATTGCACATCATTTCATAGGCTTATGGCCTTTTTTATACATTCTTTGGAGAAATGGCTGTTAAAGCCTGTTGCCTATTTTTTACTTGGATTTTGGGGGGTTTTGTTGTTGCTAAACTGTAACAGTTTTGTTTTGGCATTTTTATTTTTTGAGACAGGGCCTCACTAATCCAGGCTGGTCTTGAACTCAGAATGATCCTCTGCCTCAGCCTCCCAAAGTGTTAGGACAACAGGCATGAGCCACCAAGCTTAATCATAGTAGAAAATCACCCATGTGATGTTTACAATGTGGTTTTTTGACATTTGTCTATGATGTAAAATGATTGAACCAAGATAAGTATCCATCACCCCTCTTATCTATCATTTATATGGTAAGATATTTGAAATATACTGTTAGTACCTTGAAATATACATAATCATGTACTGTAACATTTCCACTGTGAAATACATCTCAAAACATGTTCCCCTTGTCCATCTGAAACTTTGAACATTTGACCAACTTCCCATTCCCCTCCTCCCCTACTGCCCAATCTCTCTCAGCCGTCACTCTGTTCTTTATTTGGATAAGTTTAGACACCACATATAGATGAGATCATGCATTATGTTTCTTCCTGGGCCTGGCTTATTTCACTTAACCAGGTTTATCCATGCTGCTGGAATCACAGAAGAGCCTTGTTTCAAGACTAAACAGTATTCCACTGTGCACACAGACCATATTGTCTTTATCTGCTCATCTATAATGGACTTTTATTTTCATATCTCAGCATTGTAAATATTACCGTGTTTAAAACAGGAGTTGAACTATCTCTCCAAAAGATTATTTCAAATGCTTTGTACATATATCCAAAAGAGGAATTTCTGGGACATAGAGGATAATGTCCTTTCATTCAGCGAAACTTCTAATTTTCATGAAGTCCAACTTACCTATTTTTTTCTTAGTCTCTTGCCTATGCTTTGTTCTCAGAGCCAAGAAATTATTGCCAACTCCAATCATGAAGGTTTTCTCTTTGTTTGCAGCTAACAATTTTACAGGTTTAGCTTTTACCTTCAGATATTTGGCCCATTTGGAATTAATTTTCCTGTAAAGTGTTAGGTAAAAGTTCAGCCTTTTTCATTTGCATGGAGATTCAGCTTTCTCAATATCTTTGTGGAAAGCACATCCCTTTCTACATGGAAGAGTACCAGCATCTTCATCAAAAACAGTTTGGACCCTGGAGAGCAGTTAGATACAAAGAATAACTTCTAGTATTGTGTAGCACAGCAGGATAACTATGTTTGACCATGATTAATTTGTATTTCAAAATAAGTAGCAAAGACAATTTTGACTGTTCCTAACACAAAGAATAATAAACGCAGAGGAGCTGGGGATTTTGCTCAGCGGCACACACGCCTACCTGGCAAGTGCAAGGTGATGTAGTTCAATGACCGATACAAAAAAAAAGAGAATAATAAACCCTGAAGTGATGGAGCCACCACTTGCCCTGATCCGGTTCTCACATGTTATATGCATATAACAAATGCTATGTTGTACCCCATGCATATGTGTTCTTCTTACATGGCAATTAACATTTTTAAATACTTAGATATCGTTTGGCCTTCCATGGGAGCATTCATTTCTATGCTTTTGTTCTGTTTCACTGATTATATATCTTTATTCATGCCCTTAGCACACTGTTTTGGTTACTGTAGCTTTAGTCTAAATTTTGAAATCAGGAAATGTGTGCCCAAATTTGTTCTTCATTTTCAGAGTCATTTTAATTATTTGGGTCTCTTGGGGTTACATATGAATTTTAGTATGGATTTTTCTTTTTCTTTTTTTTTTTTTTTTTTTTTGTCTTTTTCTTTTTTATCGGTACCAGGGATCGAACTCACGACTGCCTGCTTGCAAGGCAGGAGCTTATGCCACTGAGCTAAATCCCCAGCCCTGGATTTTTCAATTAATGCAAAAAGTGTCCCTGGGATGTTTGTTTTAATTAATGGTAGTTAAAACCAAGGCCTTCACACTTAGCTACATTCCCAGCTGTTACTACCATCACCTGCTTTTTTGCTCAGGGTCTCACTAATTTGCTAAATGGCCTGAGCTGGGCTTAAATTTCTGATGATCCTGCCTCAGCCTGCCACAGTGCTGCATTTACAGGATGCACCACGAAAACCAACTGAAAATCTCTCTGAGCTTTCGATAAGACTCACATTGAATCTATAGATCATTTCGGATAGTATTGTCACCTTAATAACGTTAAGTCTTCGAATACATAAAGATAGGCAAGGTACCGTGGTACAAACCTGTAATCCCAGCACTTCTAGAGGAGAGACAAGAGGAAGCCAACCCGAACTACATAGCAAGACTCTGATTCAAAACTAAAGTAGAATAACTTCCATTTACGTCTTTTTAAAATATTTTTAAGCAAACTTTTGTAATTTTGTTTAGTACAATTCTTTCACCTCCCTGATGAAACTGATTGATTTGTAGAACTGAGGATTAAACCCAGGGCCTTTACAGAGTTAGATCACCATTATTTTTGTTGTTGCTGTTTTTATATTGTCTTGTTGAGATGAAGTATTACTAAATTACTAAATTGTCCAGGGTAGACTTGACTTTGTGATCCTCCTGCCTCAGCTCTCTAGAGCACTAGGTTTGTAGCCAGGGACCACCACAGACAACCTGAAGTTTACTTCTAAGTACTTTATTCTTTTGGATGCTTCTTGTAAATGGATTTTTTCTTATTTTTTTCATATTGATAGTAGCTAGCACATAGAAATACAACTGAGTTTTGCATTTGATTTCATTAGTCTGTAAATGAATTTGCTTATGAATTATAATAGTTTTAGAGAAAGATTTTCTATCTATAAGTTGTTGTCATTTGGAAATGGAGATAAGTTTACTTCTTTCTTATTTGGAATCTTTCATTTCTTCTTCTTGCCTTGCTCTTGCTAGGGTGTCTAATTCTACATTGAACAGAAGTGAATGTTGGCCCCCCTATTGTTCCTAACGTTAGGAGGAAAACCTTCAGTCTTTCACCACTGAGTCTGATGTTAACTATGGGTTTTTCACACATGGCCTTTTAGTTTATTTCTATTCCCAGTTGTACTGTTCATTTTGTTTCATTTTGTGTGTGTGTGTGTGAGTGTGTATGTGTGTGTATTTTTTTGTACGGATGATAGAACCCAAAGGGTGCTCTACCACTGAACTAAATTCTCACCTCTTTTAATGTTTTTTTTTTTATCAGAAAAGGTCTTACTAAATTGTCAGCATTACCCTTGAATTTACAATCTTCCTAATTCAGATTTTGGGTATTTGCTATGGTGCCTAGTGGCTTGAGTCGTTTTTTTTTTTGTTGTTGTTGTTGTTGTTGTTTTTTTCTGTTTTTCTTTTCGGTTTTACAAGAAAATAAATTTTAACAAATTCTTTTACAGATTCAGATCTATTTGTATTTTCTATTTCTTCACAATTCTTTGTGTTTCTAAGAAAACAGCCATTCATCTATATTACCCAATTGTTGTTATAAAATTATTCACAGTACCCTTAATATGCTTAGTATTTTGAAAAACTGCTAGTTTCACTTCTAATTTTAGTAATTTGAATCTTTGTTGTGCTTAGATAACCCAGTTAAAAGTTGTCAGTATTTGTTCATCTTTTTTGAAGAATGAACTTCTGGTTTCACTGATTTTTGTTGACTATTTTACTATTCTGTTTTATTTATCTTTATGCTGAGCTTTATTTCCTTCCTTCCACTAGTTTTCAATTTACTTTATTCTTTTTCTATATCACTAATGCCTATTAGATTGTTAAAATGAGATCATGTTTCTTAAATGTAAGCATCTACAGCTATGAATATCTTCCATGTGATTCTTGATTTATATGAATCTCAGATAACTCAGTTGTAAATAAGAGTAAAAATACTTGCTTCATGGTTCTAAAAGATCAACCCTTCAGGAAAATGCCACAGACAGACAATAAGAACCATAAGTGTTATCTGCTGTTCCTACTACTACTATTAGTCTTCAAGGCAGGCAGCCAGATATACTTTGTGTTAGCCATATGAAGGTAAGTAAACTTTTCAACAGTCTAAGCCCAGTGTGTCATCCATAAAATGTACATAATGTCTACCTCACAGAGGGACCCCGGGAGAGTCCTCAGATCACAGTGCAGATCTCACCTGTGTGTAGGGGAAACTGTAAACAGCAGCTTTATACTGAAGCTGTAGAGTGTGCACAAGGCTGAGGGAGAGTTCTCCAGGCAAAATCTCCCAGCACAGGAAAGCTGTGCCCTTCAGAACTGGGCTTCTTGATGCCCCTGCTAACCACAGTGAGAAGCGAGGTCTCTATGCAAAGGAGGTGATGAATTCTGAGTGTGCTATAACCTGAGCCTGCTGTCAAGTAAGCTCTTGCCACAAGAGAGCTGATAGGCACATATTCTTGGCCAGCTCAAACAGAACCCTGTGAAAACAGATGGAACCACAAAGGATGGGAAGTTACAACATACAGAAATAACAATCAGCCTTCCTCACATTTCTGAAGCCTTCAGACACCTGCAGAAAGGGAAGGATGGAATTGTGGGAAGATAAATCACCAGTAAGGGAGGTGGATTACAAGGCCTGCCAGTCACCTCACTGCAACACTTTCCATAAGAATGTAATCATCAAAGGAATAAACAGAGCTACATTATGTTAAGAACTGTGTCTCAAGACACCCCAGTGCAAAGCAGTAACACTTTCATTGCCTTCTCTTTTCTTTCCATGGCTGATGATCCAGTAGAAGACAGAACTGGTCTCTCCGTGGGAGTCATTGTCGGCATTGTGATTGCAGCTGTAGCTGTGGTGGCTCTAATAAGCGTCCTGGTATATTTCCTGGTTTTCAGTGGAAGTGGCCGGTATGATGTCCTTTTCATGTCTTCCTTTTCCTCCAAGGCCATCTGCCACTCTTGGAAGAGGGACAGCACTTTTATCCCTCCGTCTTGGGGCTGGACCACCTCTTCACCTTCCTAAACGCCACTTCTCAGTCTTAAGTCCAGTGGGTCTTCCTGCTCCTGCCCTCATGCTCGCTGTATTCCACTGCCTCTTGGGTATGGTTTTCTCACCCCTGTATAGCTTCGAGGAACAGATCCAGTTATGTTCCTCTATGCCCCCAGTCAGGAAGCCAAGGTCCAAGAAGGTGGACAAATGAGGAAATGAAAGGAGCAGCAGGGGAAAGTAAGTGACTACTCTGTTGGCCACAGTAGCAGGAGGAGGGAGGAAGGGGGTTCAAGAGAAAGGAGAAACCACCAGAATCCCCTTGGACAATAAGTAAAATAAGGGGCAAGAAACAAACTCCTCCTATACAAACAAAATAGGAGGGGCCCAAAGGTAAGGGAGGCACAGAAGGGTCAGCAAAGACTAAATCTACATGGTGGGGGATGTAGCTGAGCAGCAGCTTTTGGCTTCAATTTGACTCTAGCACCAGGAAAAAAGAAATGTAAATGTGGACATCTACCAAACAGGAAGGGAGGAAGCAGGAACTGTGGGGAGCTTGAAGAAAGAGGACTAAGAGGAAAGACAATGCCAACCATAAAATGAATTGACATCAAGGAGTGTCATCTGCTAACATGTCCTTTCTAAGCCAGGGACCAAAGGCCCTGCACATGGGAATAGCAGTCACGGTGTCTGATATCTGTTTAGAGCAAGCGACCAGCCCGATCTCATACAGCACAAACCCTCAGTCTCCCATTGCAGTAAATAAAGCCACTCACCCAGTCAGAATGGCTATGTTGAACCATGTACCCTACACTAGCGGAGAACCCTAGATTCAGCAACGACTACCCCCTCTGAATTGTTCTCCACTTCCCAGCCCTAAGTTGACAGAGGTCCTTAAACCCTTCCTAGTCACAAGAGTCTCAGTCTGGAGAGAAGCTCACTCCACCTGAGCTAGGCAGGTCCCGGGTGCCATTGCTTCACCTTACTCCTTCCTCTTTGCTTGTATCATGGATGCGGGCAATTTTCCTCACTGAGACTTTCCTTGGCTTCTGAATGCTCTGGGTGCTATGGGCCCTCACTGCCACTCCTTGCCATTGGAGTATGTTGCTAACAAATACATGGTGAAGGAGGGGATCTAGCCTTGCAAACCAGTCGAAATCTTCACAAGTGGCTCGAGGCCTCCCGTGTCTCTACTCTCCACCCCTCATCTGGTTCTACTGTCCTCGGTATGGGCCACAGATTCTGAGAGAAGCAAATTCCCTAAGTGATCATGGGGTTCATTCCCAGACCCCACAGCAACCACCATCTGCTACCTCCTCCTGCTAAAACATAAGGCCTTAAATAAGCTTTATACTTCCATGGAGTTGTAACTATGCTTTTGCTTTCCCAGGACGGGGCCCCTCTGATAACTCTCCTGACAAGGTAAGCACAGCCAGGTAAGCACACTGGCTCATTTTCTACTAGAAATGATCCCGGGAAGAATGAGTTGTTCCTGGTGATACAGATGTGAGGTCAACTTTGAGCCTAAGTTACCCAATACAGAAACAAAGAAGCATTGGTTAATCACTTCCATGAGTCCACCTCACGGCAAGCATGTGGACTTTGGAATTATCCACAATGAGGCTGTATGACTCTTACCTGTGAAGACCAATAGCTCTGTGATCCTTAACATGTAACATCCTCTCCTTAACCCTCAATTTTATTCACAGGAGATTAAAGTGATTACAGGAGATAACAAGTGCTTACATCAGAAATATAATTTTATATGGTGTGAAATTTCACGAGATGAACACACCCATGAAAACAGCACCCAATCAAGACACTATATGTCTACCCACCAAAAAGATCTTTCCAGTGACTTCCCTACAAGCCATGACCACGATCCTAACAGCACGCCCTTGTTGGCACCTGTGTTCTTTCAGTCAGTGTTGTTTTATGAGATTCACCCATGTTGCATGTGTCTGTGATTTGTTCCTCCTCACGGCTCTATTACCATATTCCACTGTATGGCATCATCACCATAATTTATCCCTTCAAAGGACTATTCAGCACCATCTCAGTGAGCAGAGAACAGCCCTTTTCCAAAGCTAAATGTTTGAAAGAGGTGACAGCATAGTGGTTGAAATTGTGGCAGGCACAGTGAGATTCCCTGATGATAATTTAATTGAAGGCTGCTTGTACTTTACAGGTGGATGAAATTGCATATTATTTCCTGAGTTTCAATAACCTGCAATCAAAGCAATCAACTTCACACTCTCCCGTCCCCACAGTAAAAGAAACAATTTACTCAGAAGTCAAAAAGAGTGACCCAACCTATCCTGTCACAGCACTGCTGACCCACTCCATGGCCTCCCTGGAGATTTCTTTACACTCTGAAGAAAAGGAAAAACAGCCCCCTACTCTGTCCTGCCACATGTAGCACCTCCAGGCTGCAAGGCCTCCCTCCAATGTCAATAGAGGAAAAGGTATACCGGGAACTCTGTAGGGAACCCAAATTCATGATCACTGAGAGCTGGTAAAGCCAATTTGGGGGAACACTTGCCAGCATTCCCTGCTGCTCCCTTTTCCCAGTCTAGAATTGTTTTAAAGTTATTTATTCAGAGCACACTCATTTCTTCCTACCCCACTTCTGTCCTGTCAGAATGTAACTTGAATTTGCCATCATTTAAGGATTATTTCTTTTTCCACTTAAGTGCATTTGCCAAAAGGAAAAAAGAGAGAAAAACTAAAACAAATAATAGCTTTTCCTTTCTCTCCAAATTGTCATGTGAACCTACCATACCCAAGAAAGTCAAATATGCAGCTAATAGTGCACTGAGAAATACTGTATTTTTGTCTCCTGTGATGGGGTCTAAAAACTTTCTGATTTGCTAGAATATCACCTAAGTCCTTTGGCAAGCCTGTCTCCAGAGAATCACTAAAAACAACTAGGAAAATGATTTGCAAAGCCTCAAAAGTAACTCCCAATAGAAAACGCAAGAGTGCACATACATCTTTAATACCTAGGAAGGCTTTATTCAAGGAAGTGCCTGGAAAAGGGGAAACTACAGCTTTATGAAGGAATTCAACTTTGAAGAGAGGCAATCTGCTGGGAACTCAGGAAAAGAACAGAGCTGTCCTTCATTCATTATTTACAATTATTGGTAAAGAATTCACAACTGGAGGCACGTGACTTTTCCCTTTTCTGAGACATTCTACCATTTTAAATTTTGGAACTTCTTACTTCTTTGAAAGGGTTATTTTCACTTAGCTGTATAAGCTGACCTGACCACCTTGGTATATAGGGAGCCACCAAAATCCCTCAGGCTCCCTTGGGCAGGACCTTCTCAAGGCTTTTTTCTCAAAGGCCTCCAAGAAAAATAAGAAGAGGCTTTGCTCATTTGTGTCAGAAATAGGCCTGACTCAGTTTCCAACCACGTCAGACCAGCTGCCTTTCCCCTCCATGTTGCCTCCTGTGCATTCTCTACCTGTCTGCCCTAGTGTCTCTTGTCTCAGGACACCTTGGCCTCTGCCAGGGTGTGTTTGAGCCTGGCAAAGTGGGAGCTCCCTAAAGGGAACCATAGGCTCCTACTGATGGATTTGTTTACAACCTGGGAAACTGCACTGGTGCTGATGCCCCTTAGGAATGAGGATCACAAGAGGCCATGAGGGCATAGGGGTTACCCGACCCTGGTTTTTCTGATCAGCCTCTGAAACTTTCCTTTTCTCCCATGGGCTCTATGAGTCCCAGTGGGAGTTAGAATAAAAAGGGACAAGAGAAGGAAGGCAAATGTCCTCCACAAGGAGCCTTTTGCTACACAGACTAAATGTGTTTGGGACTGTAAAAAAAGGTTTTATTTGATGATCTCTACTTGATCGCATGCTATGCCTAACAGGTCTCCTCTAAGAGAATTCACTGGGAGTTCTCCAACTCAGGTACCTCTTCCAGGGATTTATAGACCTGACACTGACTGTGTGCACTTTCCCTCCTCCATGCTGTGCTGGATTATTTAATTTTGCCTGGCTAAAGCCACTTCTGATTCTTTGTAAAATATATAATAAAAATATATATCAGACATCGATATGCTGCTTCATGTTAATACCGCGTTAGACAGTGTCTTCCTTACAGATAAAAGAAAAAATGGGTCAGTGAGGAGTCAAAGGAAGCCCAGTTTGAAATCTGTAGGTATGGATGCAGAGATCAGAGAATTAGCTAAATCCATTTGCACCTCCACTGCCACAGTGAGGGCAGCCGGGAGGAACCTGCTGGAAGGAACTGCTTGTCTTCCTCTGGGAAAGAAGGTGACTTAAAAGTGAAAGACTTCTTAGCCTCTTCATGAGGGGTGGAAACACCTCCCACATAGGTGACTAGTGAAGCAGAGGCAGCCACACAACTGTGGCTCTCAAGCATCTCCACAGATGGTCCTGTGGGGTCTCCAGCACCCTTCCACGTCTCCCTCCTTACCAGTTCCGTGTTATGCCCTCTTAATTATCCTGAACAGCTTTCATTTATTCCACTTTAACCTATTGTCTCATTTTCAACTCCTGGAAGCAGCTGAAATGTGTGTGATGTCTTTTCCTTCCTCATCCCATTTCTCATTCCTTAAACCAGGGAAGCAGAAAAAAATAGGTCTGCATCCCTTGATCAAACTCAGAGGTAGTTTCATGCTTTCACATCATCTAAGTCCACAGGTAACCTTCCTTTCTGGGGCTTCTCCCTGCAACCTAAATATTCCTCCTCACACCACAGCCAGGGCCAGGCCCTTCAGGTCTCCCTCCACCCTGCCCTGCCCTGGGCTTCACAGCCCTCCCTGCGGGGGGCTCCTTCATCTACTTCCTACTGCTTCCCTGAACTCCTGGCTGCCATGTCCAAATGCAGTCTACACAACTCCTGTAAACTGGCTTCCCCTCGGCTCACTCCTTTCTCTGACTGACTCCCCCAAAGTCTCCCAGCCCTGCTCTGTGGTTCTCACATTCAACACAGCATCTCCTCAAATCATATCGATTCGAACATCCCTCAGCTGTGTCATTCTCTCCATTCCCACAACCTAACTACTACACCAAGCTTTCAAATAGTAGGTACCACTCAGTACCTACTATTCGCTACTGTAACTGTTGAACAGGAAGTTAAATAAGCAGCGTGGGGGAAACTGCACAGAAACTTTCCGCAGAAGTCTTCCTACATACCGCTGCCCCATTACCTTCCTAAAAGCTGGTTCACGCTCCTACTGAAGCATAGACCGAGGCCTGTAAGTTCAAATCTTTTCTGTTTAATCTTTCCTACTTCCCTCGCTACCACTCCCTCGTGTCATCCCTCCACTCTAGCTCCATCTGTCTCCTACAAATCCCTGCTTGGCCTAAAGATTTATGCTGTTATAGGCAGATCTAAAACAGTGCTGGCAAAACCATAGCACAAGAGTTGTTTTTCTTTTAAGCAAAAGATATTAACACATTAGTTGATTTTTCTGAATTAAAACCATTCAGCTTTAATTGCAGTGTTGGTCCTTTGCAATACATAACTGAAGTGGACTTGGGGTAACAGCTGGACACTCACCACTAAGATATATGCCACCACTGACCTAAAATGTCCCCAAAAGGCACAGGTTTCAGAGGGGTATGGGGATTTGGGAATCATGATTGATCATGAAGGCTCTGACTTCATGTGGATTAGTGTATAAATAAGTTCAAAACCTGAATGGGTTTCCTAGGGGAGGTGTGTAATTGAGCAGGTCTTTGGGAGCATGGCTTTGAACATTACATGTTGTTCTGGCCCCTTCCTTTCTGGCTCCTTCATTCTCTCTTCCTGGCTTCAGAGATAGGAGCAGCTCTTCCCTGGCACACCCCTCCATTCCAGCCAGCTGTTAGGAAATGCTTAGGAAACTGTGGCCCAAAGCACAGGTGACATTGAGAAAAATGTAACACAGTTGGAAGAACATTCAGTGTGATGGGTATGAGATGAGTAATCTATTCTGCCAGTCGCAGAGAGATACTCACGAAGAAATTGTTGGAAATGGCTAAATTTCAAGGACTCACAGTAGCCAGTGTTGCGAGGTGAGGACTAACTAGTGCTCTCATATATTGCTGCTGGAAACAAAAATGAGACAACCATGCTACAGAACAGTTTGGGAGGCCACTGTGCTCTCTCTGGCAGCATATTTCTGTTCCTACCTTTTGTAAAGATAAAACTTCTCTTTTAAAAAGTGTGAAACTTTCCTTATGAAGTTAAACATGCACATCTATAATCTCACAATCCTACTTCTACATACCCAAGAGAAATTAAAACATATATCCACATGAAGAGTCATACAGGAATGTTTATAGCACTATTATTCATAAACAAATAATAGAAATAATCCAAATGTCTACTGACAGATGAATAAATAAACTACAATGAAATAAACTGCAATGAAAGGGCCAATAGCAGCTCAGAACTAGAACTGCAAACAAACAAAAAAAAAGAAACAAAGAAAAATAACGATAGATATCCTTGAATTTATAAGGAGGCAACCTGAAGATGATGGTTACAACACTAAGAGGAGGAAGCGGTTAGTGAACTCCCATGCAGGCCCACATGCTAACTCCTTTGCAGTCCTGTGGGAAGCACTCTGCCATCAGTGCAGCCTCAGCAGCCAAGCAGAGGCCTCGGCTCTGATACGCGGTGGAGGGTGCCAATGTGAACACGTATTATATTCTGTCAGAAAACAATGTTGCCCTGAGTAAGGAGGTGGTGGGTGGGCTGAGGGTAACCTTCGATCACACTCTCCCATTGCTCTAGCTCGACCTGTATGAACAGGCACCATATAAAGAGGTGACTTCAATTAAATCTTTAGTTTCAATTAAGCAAAGTGCCACAAACACTGATAAAACCAGGAAGGGCTCTTTCTCAACCCACCTTTGTTGACTGCACCCCTAAGAGGCACAAAACAAAGCAAAAGCACCGCATTCCCTGAGGTAGTCCACGCATCACAGCACTCACTGCCAAAGGCTGTCCCAGAGCAGTGCCTGGCCCCAGCCCATTTGCGGACAGCGAGACACAACAGCCATCAAGCCCAGGCTGTGCCTGCAAAAATGTGTAATAGTCATGGTACAAAAGAGAGGAAAAGAAAGTGCCCCAAACTATATAACTGCATGTATATTTAAGTGTATAAGATAGAAAATGATATCACAGAGTTTTATTGGATCAATGAACAGAACTGTTTGCAGTATCATTGATGGAATGTCCACTTTACAAGCTTTAATTTTGTGACTTGAACAATTATTTCTAAGATGACAGTATGTAATCCATTAACTAGTGATTTCCTACTGTTCATTTTTTTTCTGTAAATCTGTATAACTTGTGCCCTTTCTCTGCTTTTTTTTCTTTTCTCCTTAAATAAAATTTTTTTAAAAATTAAAAAAAAAAAAGAAAGAAAGAAAAGAAGACGCCTGTGAACAGCAGATCACCTTCCTGCATGCCTGTGACCCCTAATGGGGAAGGGAAGGCTGTGTTTGCTGGCTTTGAAGGGAGAAGTGAAATAGCTGAGTTTTCTTTGGAAGCTTGTGCTTGACATTTGTACCTTCCAAGTGACCAGCCACCTCCACCTTCTTACATTTATGGTGCACAGCGTTTGCTATGATTGTTTATAAAACTTCCAGAAATCCTGGGAAAGGTGTGCTTTCCTGAGAAGAATCCCAAGGGTTTCCTGAAACACTTGGATCTCTTGCAGGGTTCTTAGCAGAATACCATGCCTGCCTCTTCCCAGAGTCAGCCTATGTCACTGCCTGCATTGACACTGCAGTCCCGAGAGCCCCAGGGCTGCTCATTAAAGCCTAGTGGTTCTGTAGGACTGCTGCTCTGCTGGCTTTGTCTTCCAGGATTCAGGGTGCACAAATCTCAGGCCCACATTGGTGCTCTGGCATAGATGAGTTCTATGATTTGATTTGTCCACATATTACAGTATTTCTGTTAAGAATTACTTTCTAGATCTCCAAATGCCCTCTGACTTAACTCTTGCTATTGCACAAGACATTTGTGATGACCAGCAAAATGTTCATCATGAAATGTCCACAAAATGGGCTATCCTGCTTGTCATTGCAATTCTTACTGAGAATCATATTTTTTAGTTAGTTGTTAGCATAAAAGGATTTTTGAGATAGCATCTGGCCAGTTGAGGTTGGCCAGATGAACTCATTGTAACCCAGACTGGCTTCAAACACATGGCAACCCTCCTGCCTCTGCCTCCCAAGTGCTGGGATGCACGCATGCATCAGCACACCTCGCTAAACAAAACCCTTTTGCAGCCTGTTTTTATTTTTGTTGTGAGGCTGAATGACTCTGTGCATCTATTTTAGTTTGTATATGGAAACCACCAGGAAATCCCAAAGTCTTCTGGAAGTCATCAATATCGATGGAAAAGAAAATGTCAACATGAACAGTCAACAAGGACATAAAAAGATGCTCAATATAATGACTCTTTATGGGAATGCATATGGAAACCACTCAGTACCTACTATTCACTACTGTAACTGTTGAATAGGAAGTTAAATAAGCAGCGTGGGGGAAACTGCACCAAAACTGGAAGCCTCACACACACCTTAAGGAAAAAGGAAAGCGGCAGCCACTGTAGAAAGCAGAGCCCAGCTGTGAGATCCCATGGCCAGCACACCACGAGGTGTGTTCTGGGAGAATGAAACAGTGATTCAAATACTTTTCTGCACCATAACATTCCCACAGAAGCCTTCAGCACAGGAAATCTGGGGAAACACCCTAAGTGTCCCTAATGGATAAATACCTAAATAAATGAGGCACATAAATGCACTTGAATATTAGCCATGAAAATCAAAGTTCCGGTGCCAGCTCCAACAATGGTAAACCTGAAAAGAAACAAAAACCACAATGGCACTTGTTTAGTTTAATTTATATGAAATACCTAGAATAGGACAATTCCCAGAGGCAAATTGAGTAGCTTAGGGGCTACCATGGGCTGGGTGAGAAGGGATGAGGTGTTACTCATTAATGGCTAGACTTCCAGTTCGGGTACGAGAAATTCTGGATATTGGACCAATTGTTATAAATATGAATGTAATTAGGGGCATTTATTTA